AACAGTTCTGTCCTATCTTTTGTGCGACATGAATACTAATTGAGAAACTACATACTGTACAGTGCTAAACATGAACACACATGGTTTAAAGCAATGCTAGTTATACTAATGTAATGTATGGGTTCCCAAACAATGCTGTTCGAGTAGTTAGGGTGCTAGGATATCATGCCGGAGACATTGGTTCCATCTTTGGTAAGGGATGGCCATTTTTCTGTCAAGGGCAACATGACAAACCTAGCTTGCACAGTTTTTGGTGACTGAACCAGCCACAGGACCTTTAATCTTCAGCCCCCCCCCCCCCCCCCCCCCCCGATCCTACACTACCCGAAAAGAGGTTAATACAGACAGTAAAAGAGATTGCCAGAAATATACTCGCTAAATACTGATACAGGGAGTGGCTGTTACATGGAAGATACTAAATGAAAATAGGGGTGTGGTCTGGTAGACTTTTATACATTCTTTTTTTTAAGGAAATAATGAGCTGTAGTTGCTGGTTCCATTCTTTACCCTTTTCCCCCTTATTAAGTCAGTATTCAAACTTATTTGCTACTCTTGTTATGATGCTGGGTTAACCTATAACATCTGGGTCGTCCGGAGAGTGTCAGTCATATCATCAATAAGAGTAAACCCCCTAGACAACAGCCAAGGACCAAGCAGACAACACTGCATCCTCCATTACTATTCTATCCTAACCAATCAGTTTTAACCTGTAAATGCTGAGATCCAGGCTTGCCAGAGGTACCCATGCCTCTATAAAATGTTAGGTGTTACTTCATAATGTGTAGACATGGTGGGTATGATTATATTAATCGAAATATTTGTATAGATACTATTTAGAGTGAAAAAAAATAGATTTAAAGAAACTGTGGCGTAACTATTTAGTCATCAAATTGATCGGGAAAAGGGGGGGGGAACCATGTTTAGATGGTTAAAGGGAAAGAAATAAGTTATTCTTTTCTTGGTGCCTATTTAATTATTAACTCCCTTTATTTAGAAATCTCCCTGCACCCTTTTTCCTAATTTAGACATTTAGTGAATGAAAACAATTTTGTTTACATTTCTTGTTATCAGTGATGAGACATCCTCAAAGAAGAAGAAGAAGACTGCGAGGCTGCCTGTGTGCTCTGTGGTCTAGGTGTTCAACCACCTGGGTATTTATTAAAAAAAAACACCCAAGATTCCACATTTTGTCTGCTGCTTCTTCTTCTTCTCTTCTCCTAGTTTCTAAAAGTTAACATGATGTTGTTTATGAGCCACTTTTCTTCAATGTTTACATCTTGGTGGTTTGACACTCACTCTAATTATATGACATGCTTGAAGGTTTCAGACAAAAAATCCGACTGACTGAGAAAAAGACTTAGAGGATCAGTGGGAGTTGATTAAGGCCTTCTGCTCAAGTGTGGGCACAGGGATCGTGAGCGCACACACGCATGCATACACAGAAAGAGTTTAATATCTGTGTAACTCAAACAAGGGAGTCGCTGTGGCCGAGCGGCTACACTCGTCGTGGATCGGAAGGTCATGGGTTCGCTCCCTGGCGCAGCTGGACTTTTTTTAAAAATGACCTTGGCTCCCAGGTCGACCCAGCCTTGAGTGGGTACCGGGTGCAGTCCCAGGAAAGTAAAGGTGGCCGGCGTGATGCTGACCACATCACCCATCTTGTGCCAATTAGTCTATAAAAATATAGGTCTAGCCCTATATGCCTACAGGCGTGGAAAAGGGTTCTTTACTTTACTTACTTACACAAAAGGATAAATAAAAATATACAATAACATAATAATTTTTTTTTCAAATCATCTGCTGCACCATTTTGTAAAAACATTTTCTTAACTAATTAGAAATACAACAATTTACAACCAAAACTAGATGAATCAATTCACGATTTCAAATAAAACTGCCTTAAATTATAAATATTCTCACATTGGTAGAGTAAGATTTCGTTTATTAATTATATTGCAGGGGGAATAATACATAGTTAACCAAGAGTCAATTATCAAAATAACACTTTAAAATTATATTCACACATGGCACATTGAGAGATAAGAACGACACACCAATTTATTAAGACCCTGTATATACAAATAAAAAATACTAAAAAGAAACAAATAAAAATCTTTTTACCTCAAGAAATAAAAATGTTCTGTCACCCCAAGAAACAAAAGTCTCATCATCTGGTTGAAGTTAATAGGGAACAAACTGGAAAATCATAAATTATGCAAGCTGTTGCTAATGGTTAAAGATATCTAAATATGGTCAGATCTTTATGAAATTTTGCATGGCCCTTCCTTATCTATCATACAAACAATAAATCACTAAGAAAAAAAGGTATATTTGTTTATTTCATATTTATTTCCACCTGATGAAGGTATATATTTAGCTGATGAGTAAACTGGTTGCAGTTATCGTACTAAGTCTTTACGTCCTTTTCAGGACGTAATTTTTTTTGTTATTTGAAGCCCCACTCTGGCTTTTGCCAGGGGCCGCAATATAGGCAGGCCATAAAAATGGCCAAATGTCTGAACGCGGTTTCTGGGACCTCTCCATGGTGATCCTCATCCACATGGTGGCACTTTGTGTCATCGGGTGTTTATCGCTTGTGTGATGTCCTGGTGGGGTAGAAAGTCACTCACTCACTCACTGGTTGCAGTAGCCATGTCAGTCCCACTAAAATTTTGCTTAGGTATTAAAATATAGTTAGGCTATAATCTGAACCGAATGTCAACTCTGTATCTACGTTAGATTTTCTTTCACTGATTTCCACAATTTTTCCAAAAGTTTCATAAAATCATAACTCAAGTTAAATATCGGCTGTGGGGTCCTTAAATTTGGCAGGTTTCACACAGAATTCACTGAGACGCCTGTTCTCCCCAATTTATTCTGTAAAGTGTGGAAATGAAGAAAGAAATAACTGAAAGGAAATGATGACTTTATACAGTTGTAGTCAATTAGTTGTACTTTCAAATGTAATAATAAAACAAACCTGGCTGTAAACGATTAATTATTGTTGATACATGGCAAGTTTTTAAAGAAAAGGCCAAAAAGTGTGCTTATTAAAATTATCTAAACAGGCAAGTCCATGTGGTCATTATGTAGGGCTTAGGAATATAATTTTTCTAAAAAATTATTGTCTGGCTTCACTATGGAAATAAAATAATAACTTCACTAAAGAATATAAAACTAAAGTTGCTATCAAAAATTTTTGTTTTACATTTCATTAAATAACATTAAGTGGTGCAATGTTTCAACTTTAACTCATGCTGTCACAAAAAATCTCATTTCTTTTAAAGTACGACAACCTTATAATTGTAACCAACAATAAAATCATTCGCCAAAACACAAAAAATATTTTGTTAAACATCTTTTAGCAATCTTGTTCAAACCATTTTGTTTTATTTAACAAAAACTAGAAAAAACAAGATGGCCAACAGACTTCCCATGAAAAAAACATAGTGAAGCTGTCAGCATTGTGTGAGTGAGATTCTTCAAACATCAGATATACAGTGGCCTAGTGCTACTAAACAGACAAGCCATCCCCCCCCCCCCCCATTAGTGAAGGTCTTAGATGGTCATTACACAACAATTGGAGAGGCAGTTTATTATATCTTTGTGAACCTTCAATTAGTCTAGTAAATCACAATAAATAAAATCTGTAAATCAACATTAACCTAGCTCCCATTATGAAACGCAACTGTTCTCTATCAGCTTCTTTTAACATTAAACTCATTTCCTTTAATGAACGCAAACTTTTCAAAGAAAAATATTCCACACTTTCTAGCATGTGACTTTATAATATGTAAAATATAACCGTAAACAAGAAGTCATTCTCACACAGTTATGTATATGGTGTGCAGCCAAGTACAAAACATCTGTGTGTTTATATCTGACTGGACTGCAGTTACAGAAATAATCCCACAGAGTGACACTAATCACACCTTTGGCACATAAGGCAAAGAGGGCCAGACCGCCTTTACTTCCACGGATATTACCTGATACTTATTTTAGGCTGGATCAGCCTGAGAATCAAGGTCAACTTTGAAAGCCATCTGCCTCGATGCGGATATGATTCCTTAGACCTTGGAGCCAGCAGGCAGCATCCAGCCAGTACACTAACAGAGAACCTAAATCATCCCATAGTCTGGCATATCTAGTACCACTGCAGATGTAGGATGTACAGCTAACTTCATCATCCCTAATTATATGGGGATTGTGTCAACAAGAGTTGATAGTGCTGTGGGTGCAACCCAAACCACTATCTGACAGGAAGGGGCAACTACCACTCCACAACCACTCATCCTAGCATCGTTTCATACTTTCAAGGGTGAACAAGGGTTGAACTGGGTTTCTGAGATTTGCACTTAGATTTTTTTCCTTGAGATGTTAGTCCTATAGAATGCAATCCTGGAAAAAAGGGGGAGGGATACATAAATAAATAGATAGAAATCTCTTCTTATAAAAATCACTCGCGCATTCTTTTTACAGCTAGAACACTTCCATAACCCCAGAGACTACTACCAATCACTGAGCAGCAACAGATCTATGCTCACAAATATAATCCTTACAAATTAGCGATCCAACATGCAGTTCTCAGATTAGTGAGAGCTAACACATTTCTTTTTTAAATTTTTAACAAGGAATAAAGAAAAGCAAACAACAACAAAGAATCCTATCAGATGCTCATAATTCAGTGGGAAAAGAAACATCAAAGCGGTTTATTAATTTAAATATACACCCAAATTATTATTTTAAGCCAAGCTGCTGAAAATTCAATTATTAAGAGAAAGTGCAGGTTAAAACTGCACTAAAGTTAATTGCTTTTCCAGACTAACTTTCATAAAACATTTGCATTAATCAGTGAGGACATTTATCAGTTTTACATCTTGAACTAATTGAATAAAGGAACACACAGAACAATAAGCAAGAATCTACTGTCTGATCCTGCTGCAACTTTCAACCCTGAAGTCTCTCTTATCAAGCTGACACTGAATACTGAAGTAGAACATTTAACAACATCGACTTTCTCCTTCAGCTTCTGCTAGATGAACTGCCTCCTTCGGCCTGGCAAAACCGGCCTTGACCCCATCCCAGCCTTCTTCTATTTTGATATGCCCATCTTGCAAATGCTGGTAAGTGTCTTTGGCGATCTGAGCAAAGGATTCTTCTACATTCTGGCCGGTTTTCGCTGATGTCTCAAAAAACTTTAGTCCCAGCATTTCTGCGAACCGTTTTCCCTCTCTAAAGGTTACTTGCCGTTTTTCTTCGTTATCAGCTTTGTGGCCAAGAATCACAAAAATAGCCTTGTGCGGCTCAATGTGTTCTCTGGCTTCTTCATACCAATCTTTGAGGTTTTCAAAACTACTTCGCTTGGTTATGTCGTAAACAATCATTACCCCTACAGAGTTTCTGTAGTAAGATCTTGTGATAGACCTGTAAGAGAAATAAAACCACATCTTAATCTGACAGTCAGTTAACCAATGAACTCATCTTGGAAATATCACAGGAAAGACAAACTACAGAAACCTTACATACAAATCCTCTAAATTAAAAAGATAATTCCTTGTGTGATTTCTGGGGCAACACTGGGGGAGGGGGAGGGAGAAGAAACAGAATAGATTCGCTGCACTCCCAACAAATTTTGTTGTGTCCTTTACAGGACTTTGCTGGTGTTGGCAGGCAGTGAACGCTAAGAAAATAGACCATTCATCAACTGTGTTGTTAAGAGTGGGGTTGAAATATGGCCTTTTCTCCATTCCACACACACTACAATTATGGGCTATCCTCCAAATAACGGTCCCAAATTATTAATACCAAAAATATACCCTAACAGGGCCTCAGTCACGTGTAAATTGCGGACTTCCGTGGACTATACCGCCATTACCGAGAGTATCCCCACCCCGCTCACGCAGCTTGGATTGGGGCTGAACTAGATGGCTGGGACTCACGAGCAAATAAAATAAAGGAAGCGGTAGGAGATGCGGTAGCTGCTGCTCGTGAGTCCCAGCCATCTAGTTCAGCCCCAATCCACGCCGCATGAGCTGGGTGGAAGATACTCTTGGCAGTGGCGGAAGTAGCCAGAATTGCGCAATTTAAGTCACCGGAAGTCCGCAATTGAGGCCCTGTTAGGGTATATTTTCTGCCTCGATAATTTAGGACCATTATTCTTATGTAATATCAAATCATCATTCTTCTTCTTTCTTTTGTCCTATTACTTATGCCGCAAGGTGTTACAGAGAGGAGTTAAATGTAATTTTCTTACTTTTGCTAGGTGCATAGCTTATTTTAATGTCACACTGTGTTTCTGCAGTGCTCATTCTCCACCCACATCTTTTTTTTTGGGTCTGCCTCTTGACTCATAGCCTACTATTCTCATGTAGTTCGCTCTAGCTGCTGGCTAATTTTGTTTCATTCTGACCAGATGACCAAACCATTCGATTCCTTTATGTTCTATGAAATCATCTACCAATACTGTGCCTACCACTGTTCTTAGTTGGCGACTCGGTCTCTCCCCCCCCCCCCCTTCCACGGGTCACATTTCTTATACATCTCATCTCACATGTAATTTGGCATTTATATTTTTTTCCAGGATTGCCCACTGATAGCACCAAGTTTATACGAATACCAAATTTATCACATATGATCATTAACACTGTGATAATATTTTTTATGTAACTATTTCAGCCATGGGGCCGCATTAGCGCAGTTGATAAGAGGCTTGCTTTCAAATCAGCTGCGACTCACTGCAGCCCACGGTCGGTGTTCAAAACCGGGCGGCTCCTGAGGTTCACCCAGCCTCTAGGAAAAGGGTACCAGAGTTGACACTCTGGGGTAAATGGAGAAACGTCACTGTAGCTACAGAGTTACGTGCGAACGGCGACACAGGCAGACAATTCTTATCAGCTGTCCGTACTGCTGGCAGAGCACTTATGGTTTATAACCTTGTGCAATGCTGGTTAACATCTCCCGATTTTACCTTTACCTTTATGTAACTGTTTCAGCCCCAAACTGCTATTTAACAGCTCTAATGGCCATTTTGTCTTGTAACTCTCTACTTAGGCGGCTAACAATTCATTCCTAAACCAAAAGGTTTCCAGTAACAATCACCTAGAACAGTAACAGTTCAACTGTGTCTGCCAAATAGTAGGACAGATCACATAACCCTCGTTCACTAAAACTCAGGCAAAAGGAAGGTACAACTATCTATCTTAGTACGAAGAATATCGTTGTTGGAGTATAAACAATTCTGTATCTATCTCATATTTTATTTGATACGCCTGGAATGAACTGCAGCTATCAGCTGCTTCATTCAAAGCCTTTTACTAGCGTTTACGATCATTCAAGTGACCCACTTAAAAACGAAAGTAGAGAGCGCTTAGTTACAAGATGGAGTCGGTGGTCTACGGAAAATGGCTCCTTTGCGTATCAGTTACTTTGAAAACCCGTCGCTCAACACTGGCTGTTCTGAATCGAATACGTGGGCTCAAAGTTGTTCAGAAGAGGTTGCTCTACAAAACGACACCTAACTTACGTAGCGATCTTTGTTCAACCTAATAAATTTCCCTATTTGCCATGCGGGAAGTAAATTTTCTTTAATATCTCTTGTTTTCGGTAAAATAAAAGACTCTAAAGTGACATTTTTGGATTCTGTGTCCATTTTTACATAAAGTTGGGCAGTTTTGTTGGAATCTGTACAGGACGAAGTTAAAAGTTTGAATTTGTTCCCAATCGTGTATTGAGAGCTAAATCTGAGATTTCTCAAAATGGCCGCCACGTGGTCTAAACGAACTAATTGATTAATATCTAGTTATTTATAAAAGCAGTTGAAAAATAATGCAAGTTTTGTTTCTATTAATCATTTAACGGTCTCTAACTTTCATTTGACATCAGTTTTAATAGTTGTAAATAGCTGAAAATAATATTTTACCACGTTTTTGACATGGACCATTTGGCTAGGGTATTTTGAGCATTTAAAATGGACACAGTCATTGGTTTGAACATTTTTTTAATATACTTTTAAATCACATTAAAGTAGTTTTTAAATCATTTTTGGAATCTTTAGCCATTATATAATTTTTTAAGCCATAACCTATCATTGGGCATGAAGGACCTTACCTGTTTAAGGCATTTTTACCTGCTGACCCCCACTCTCCGCTCCCAGATTGACATTTAAAAAATGTCTGCCATATATTTCTGCACTATGATTTTGTGGTGCATTTTTATTGTCTTAGATAGTATAACAAGTACTATTTATGACTGATACTATGTATTAGTATTAAAATTGTAGTTTTTACTTCCTTAGATTTTAGATATGCTTATTTAGAAAGTTGATAATTAATGAAATTAATTTTAAAAAAAATATTATAATTTGTTTAACTGCATAAGTATAAGTTTACTTACTTACAGCTAGGGCTACTTACAACTTATGATTAATAATATTTGATCATTTTTTATTTATATACACTAATATATACTAGCCAGCAAACAGATCATGTAGGACATAGATACTTATAAAATTAAAATGTTATTTTTCCTCTTACCTTATGAAATCCTGCTCCATGAAAACACAACATAAATCCAAAGCGAATCACAAAGGAGCTTATTTAATAATTTTACTCCATGAAAAATATAGCACTGAATCACAAATCGGGCGGTTACCTTAGATTATTTTGAACAAGTAAATAAAATATCAAGCTGTGACTAGTTAAGAAGAAGAGGGGAACGCTATGGTGAAATGTCTTCATCATCAATAAAATGAAAGAATAACTCGCAAAGACTGAAAAAAGGATTATGTTAAATCAGTAAGAGGGGCTCTCATTTTCACTTGGTTATAAAACAATATGGGGGTCTCCGTAGCAAAGTGGTCAAGCCATTAACCTCGCGCTCAGAAGGTTGCAGTACGTTCACTGCGCTGTTCAACTAAAAAATGAATTTTTTTGGTTAGCGGAGACCTCTGAGGGCTGTTGCTGGAGCTACGGTATTCAGGCTTCGTGCTAAGCTCTTAGCATGCACTAGCCGTTCAGTTATGTGGAGAAAGACCAAGCCATACTAAACCAGTAACGATGCAATGAAGTCGATCCACTTGCTATTGAACATTTTTTAAACAGTGGAATAAAGCAAAATTTCGGTCAGGTGTATGCACACACACACACACACACAAGTGACAGTGCGAGAAAAAGCATTATTCAACAAACAGAAAGAGATGCATCATAGCAGGAAGAATAGTTACAAAAGTATATATATATATATTACAGTATACGTCTTGCAAGACTCACTGTATAATAATAATAAATTCATAAGGTATTTAATGAATACTGATAAATTGACTCATTTTTATGTTATTTAGGTTTGCATCACATCATATTTTTTAAAAGACAACAACTTTAGTTAGAGCTTGCTGTCCTGAAAGCAATGACATATGGTTGCTAAGGGGTTCAGCCAAAAACTTGAGAGTTATTGACATTAAACATGATAAATTGAGGTCCAGTTTTCACTTGGGAACATGCCGCCATCTTGTTTCTGTGTTTTCCATTATAAATTTTTTGGGCAACTTTCCGTCACTGAAATGTGAATATCTCCACTTAGAATTGACATACAGACTTCATTTAGGTACCGTTGGACTCGGGTTTTCAACCTCTATTCAGCTGTCTTGGTTTAAAAGTAAAAAACCCAATTTTTAAATTTTGACTAAAATAGCTACTTTTACTTTTCTTACTTTCTATAAATAATAATGTAAACAAATGTTGTTCAACCCTAGTACCAGGACTGCACAAGGACAGATAAACACCCAGTGACACAAAGTGCCATCTTTCGGATGAGAATCACCTGGGCACAAGTCCCCAAAACCCTGTTCAACCTTTAGATTATATTAGCCCCCTCCCCCCCCCCCCCCCCTTTCATCCCGTATTGGAGCAATATGTTTGCACAGTCCATAATATAAACATTATCATCCAATCAAGCAGTTATTCGTTTCCTGACATTCTGAAAAACAGATTGATAATAATTAAAATAATAACCTTCCCACCCTAATAAATACTGTTTCATCTTATAAATATAAATAATTGGCTCTACTGGCAAATCCGGACGAAGAATTAAACAGCCCTGGACGACTTACACGTCGACATCAGGGCTGCCAATGCTTGGTTGTTTCCCCCAGATCTGGGTTTTTTTTTCGACGCTGCAGGACAATTCTGGGTGTTTTTTTTTTGGGTGTGTTTTGTTTGTTGGTGTTTGCCGATTTGTATGCTTTAATGATCGATAAATTTGCGTGGTTAGGGGGGTAGGGGTTAGGGTTAGGGTTAGGGTTAGGATTAGGATTAGCGGTAGGGTTAGGATTAGCGTTAGATTTGACAATTTTGACGCCGGAGTTCCCTATAATCGCGCACAGTCCCATACACACAAACAAACAATCGAGGGCCTCTGGATGCTGGTCACACGCACAATTCGCCAACGATTGGGGGCACCAGCCGCACGCTATTGGCGTCATATTTGGCAGTTTCAGTGGCGCCACTCCCACAAACATCTGATTGTCGGCCAGTATTTCGAAATCCTACGTCAAAATTTTCACATCTAACCCTAACCCTAACCCTAACCCTACCCCTAACCCTACCCCTAACCCTAACCTTAACCCTAACCCTACCCCTAACCCTAACCCTAACCTTAACCCTAACCCTACCCTACCCCTAACCCTACCCCTAACTCTAATCCAACAACCGCATGATGATGACTACACAACCATTCACAATGCCTCACGCAACCATACGCAACTGTGCACGCAACCATATGATGATGCCACGATGTCTCACGCAACCGTACGCAGCCCTACACGCAACCGCAGGATGATAGGTAAGTTTGTCGTTTGTTTCGTTTGTTTTCCGATTACTGTTCGGAGTGCGGCGACGGGAGATAACTCTGACTAAGTCGTCCAAGTCTGTTTATTCTTCGTCCGGATTTGCCAGTAGAGCCAAATAATTTATTATATCATATCTAATATATGCGTAGCAGTCTGTCTGATGGAAGACTTATGGGCATATGGCTGTTTGCCCATTAGGTAACAATTTTTGGCTAATTTTTTTTAAGTCTCTGACAAAGGGGAACGAGACACATGTTTATCAAACACTTGCCTAAACCGTTCCTGTCCGGCAGTGTCCCAGAGCTGAAGTTTGACGCGAACTCCAGGCTTAACTTCCATAAGTCTGGCGTAGAAGTCCACCCCGACAGTCGGGTCACAGGCCTCGTCGAACTTTCCATCTGTGAAATATCGCAGCAAGGACGACTTGCCCACCGTGCTGTCGCCGATAAGAATGAGACGGAACTGATACTCGAAGATAGGGTCGCACATTGTCGAAGTTTGCAGACAGCGGGTATTTGTTGATGTTTGTTGTTGTGTAGAGAAATGTTGACAAAATAATCAATGCGACATTATCATTGAACTCCCCTGTTGCAACCACTTCCGGTTGTGCGTAGTGTTGTGTCACGTGACTTGGGTCAAAGGTTAAAGACTTTTGTGCCTGGGATCGCACACACAATTTTTTCGGAATAGTACCGCATTTATTTTGAAAAAGTACTAAAACTCACCAGAAAGTACCAAATGTTTAATTTAAAACCGTTAAAACGTTTTTAAACACACACACACACACACACACACACACATATATATATATATATATATATATATATATATATATATATATATATATATATATATATGAGTTGGATTATCTTCACAGCACTCCGGAAAGATCCATAGGCGCTCAGATTCCTTTCTCAACATATTCATCAGCGTCGTGCGGTTAATAGTACCAGTGCTGTGTTGGTTAACAAGACTTCTCCGGTGTGCTTCTCATGCTTGGCTGAGCGAATCTTTACTCCAAATTCGCGTATTCTTAGCAGTGATGTGGACATATAGCTTAATAAATCCTCCGAACGTCCTGTCTCTCTAAGGGCACTGACAATGTCAGCGTGATCCATGGGTCGGCCAACTTCAATTAATGCAGCACCCGCCAGTCTATCAGGTCTCTCATTACCAGCAACGCCTGCATGATCTGGGACGAATATAAAGATTGACATGTGCCTCAGAAGTTACGCAACGACTTCATGTCTGCGGTAACCACACACGCGGATCATGCTTCATGAAACACTCAGGCACACACACTCGGGTATCGTTTTCTAGTGATCCCAGCCGCATAAAAGCCAGTGTCACGTCTTCACCTCAGATAACTTCACACACAGAGAGAGTTTCGCACCGACTCAAACCACTGTCTGCGTAACAGTCAGAAGCTATTAGCCATCGGACGTTAGGGTTCATACTGAGGGGAGGATCTGAGCACCTATGGACATGTCCGGAGTGCAATGATGATAACCCAACTAACTAACTAAAATCTATATCCTTACCGACTGGCGTGGGCGATCATGCCTCTCCACAATCTGCGATCTCCTGCAGCATGTATCAGTTCGTGTGCTGACACACCTCCATGCCATGCAACAAGAATCTTCTCTCGTTGTCTTCCTCTATCCCTCCTTCCACAGATCTTTCCAGTGGTCTCAGCATGTTTTATTTTCCCTCTTCTCATAAAATGGCCGAAAAATGATGACTGTCTCCTTCTGATGTCTGTGATAAGTTGTCTTCGGGCTCCCGTCTCTTTCAAAACCTCTTGGTTGATCTTTTTTGCTGTCCAAGGTATTCTAAGCATTCTTCTGTAAAACCATATCTCTGAGACCTCAAGAAATTGTTTGGCCTGTCTACCGATTGTCAAGGATTCGCAGTCATATGTTAAAACTGGATGTATGTAGCAAACAAGAATTCTGTTTCTAACTCTCAATGACAAAGATATATTGCACAAGATGTTCTTCATTTTATAAAATGCGGTTTTTGCCTGTCCTATTCTGTTTCTTATCTCAGTTATGTATCTTCCATCTGATGTTATCCATGTGCCCAGGTATATAAATTTCTGTACTTGTCCCAAAATAACACAATCGACTTTTATTACACATTTAGGAATAATTCGTTTCTTTGATACCACCATTACTTCTGTCTTCCAATTATTCAAACTGAGGCAAATTCTTCCACACAGACATCAGAAGGAGACAGTAATCATTTTTCGGCCATGTTATGAGAAGAGGGAAAATAGAACATGTTGTGACCACTGGAAAGATCTGTGGAAGGAGGGATAGAGGAAGCCAACGAGAGAAGATTCTTGAAGTCTTGTTGCATGGCATGGAGGTGTGTCAGCTCTTCTCATAACAGCCGAAAAATGATGACTATCTCTTTCTGATGTCTGTGTGGAGCCATATGTTAAAACTGTATCAGTTAGTGTGCTGACACACCACCATGCCCAGTAGCCATCGGGGCGGAAGGGAGGAGCAATATTACGTTAGGATTGAACAAGGATTTGCACATGTAGGATTCTCGTCCTTGAGGTGGTAATACTGCGGACTGCAATGCCGGAAGCGACACACTGAAATGGGGGAAATAATGTGTAGTTTAGGGCTGCGTTTTGGTTGCCGTCTTTGTTTAAATTTGTAATGACCATTACTTCTGTTCAAACAGGCTTATACTTGTCTTTACATCACAACAAGGTATCGCCAATATTTCATGAATTAAGGACTCTAGAACAGGCGTCACCCCACTGGAAACCTTCTCACACGTTTTTTGCGCCAGCCAGAGGTCAGCTAAGAGCTCTAACAGTTATTGTGCCAGTTGACAAGACCGAGTCTTTTCCCTTGCGCACTGTCCGCATTTTTTTAATTGTTGCATTCTATTAATCATACCAATAGTTTATGGCGGGCTGTTTACATTATGCCTACCAACTGATATTTTTAGTCTATCGTATGTTACTTTTAAAGAGCCCTCAGAGATATCAACTTGTAGGCCATAGTAGTAATTAGGAGAAAAAAAAAGTTTACCTGAAATCTTTTTATTATTATTATACTAATTAAGATCCTTTTATTACAACTGTTTTTAACTTGCATCTGTTACATACGGTAGTAAAACTGTAATAATTAAAAAAAAAAAATTTCGATATTCAATGTTATGTACAATTGTGGTTTAAAATAAAATTCCTTGAAACATCCAATTTCCGGTGCAAGTTTTCGACAGCCTAGCCGGAAAGATGGTTGCCCTTGCAGTGGTTCAGTACGGCAGCGGAGCCGCGATCACCGCCTTGTTGCATCCTTTCGGCTATGCTAAAGTGTTGATGCAGGTAGGTTATCAAATCAAAACATTTCCTTCTTCTGTCGCGTCTAGAGAAGAATGCAAATAACGCCATGGCAATGTCGGAATTAAATTGCAATGTTTACACTGGTGATGGCTGACTGTCCCCCCGCAGACACTTGAGTCACCAGCTTTTTGCTACTTTCCTATTCTTATGTTAATGTTTGACATTGGCATTAGGTAGATTGTTTGATGTGCGTTTGCCTGTTAGTTCGATGGTAAGAGGTTCGAATCCGTATCTTCTTCAACATCCGAACCCTCGAGGTTCATTGCTGCAGTTGTCACCCGCCTCCAGCAGTCATCTCACTCAGTTTGGCCTTCATTGTCCATTTGGTGACAGTGACACACTAAATTAAATGTGTGTAAGTCTGTCGGGATATTATCTTCAATCATCCATCGTCTCATACCTGCCTCGTGTTCTATCACTATGACAATTAAGCTCCTTTGTGTATACAGTTTTTCCCTTTCTCTTATCAAAGTGGATTTTGGCTCTACTGGCAAATCCGGACGAAGAATGAAAAGCCTTGGACGACTTAGTCAGAGTTCTCTCCCTTGGCTCTCCCTTGGACGCACTCCAAACAGTGATCGGAAAAGCCACAACGAAACAAACGACACACTTACCTATCATTCTACGGTTGCGTGTAGGGCTGCGTACGGTTGCGTGAGGCATTGTGAAGGGATGCGTGGTCATCATATGGTTGCGTGCAGGGTTGCGTACGGTTGCGTGAGGCATCGTGAATGGTTGTGTAGTCATCATGCGGTTGTTGGGTTAGAGTTAGGGGTAGGGTTAGGGGTAGGGTTAGGGGTAGGGTTAGGGGTAGGGTTAGGGTTAGGGGTAGGGTTAGATGTGAAAATTTTGACGTAGGATTTCAAAATACTGGCCGACAATCAGATGTTTGTGGGAGTGGCGCCACTGAAACTCTGCCAAATATGACGCCAATAGCGTGCGGCTGGTGCCCCCAATCGTTGGCGAATTGTGCGTTTGACCAGCATCCAGAGGCCCTCGATTGTTTGTGACTGTGCGCGATTATAGGGAAATCCGGCGTCAAAATTGTCAAATCTAACGCTAAACCTAACCCTACCGCTAACCCTAATCCTAATCCTGCTCCCTAACCCTAACCCCTACCCCTAACCACGCAAATTTATCGATCATTAAAGCATACAAATCGGCAAAAACCAACAAACAAAACACACCCAAAAAAAACAACCCAGATTTGTCCTGCAGCGTCGAAAAAAAACCCAGATCTGGGGGAAACAACCAAGCATTGGCAGCCCTGATGTCGACGTGACTGTCTTCTTTGTTTCGTTGGCTTTTCCGATCACTGTTGGGATTGCGGCCAAGGGAGAGAACTCTGACTAAGTCGTCCAAGGCTTTTTATTCTTCGTCCGGATTTGCCAGTAGAGCCTGGATTTTTTTCCGCACAAGTCAAGTGAGTACTTGAGTACTGACACTTTTTAGACTTGTGAGTACCGGCACCTTTGTTTCTAGGTAGAAGAAAGTCCTGGATAGCACCAAGTGAGTGTGAAGTATGAGAAAAGTTGCAGAAGTGCCAGAAGAGATGAAACCAGGAATGAAGCCCTAAGAAAACAGTTGGCACAGAGCCAATCAATTCACATTCAAAAACAGTAAAGGGTTTGCCCACTTGGAGAGAATACCTTGTGGTACTATACCATACAAGGCATACAGTAAAAGAGGAGAGGGATGTAAAGCCAGAGTTATATGCTAAGATCGAAGTAGAAAGGTTACATCAGAGAAGCTCTTTAACAGTATGATGTGTCTGTTATCAAGGCGGTCAGAGGAGCAAGATCCAGAACCTTGGAACTCTCTTGGCTCCCAAAGGGGTGAAAGAAGAACTTAAGAAAAAGAAGATGAAACTGTCCATCCAAAACATCCCTAGATGTTGATATGGTACCTTAATTAGATTCGGAAGTCCTGGGAAGGGTAACCTGGTCAAGAAATGCCAACAGAAGTCGGATGCGTTGGCCGAGAGGTGAAAATATCGCAGCCATGCTGTAAATGGGCAACAACACAATTACATCTTCAGATAAACGCAGGAGGAGAAGAAGAATATTCAGGAGTCTATGTGAGGAAATAATTAGGCTATGTGCTGTAAAGGTCAACAATTGCAATTTTTACAGAGATTAGGGTTCATCACTGAAGCTACAGAACTCCTCTTTTGTGTGATGCTCTGGACAGGTGGCTAGCTTTTTTGGGGAGAGAGAGAGAGAGTCATATGGCATAAAAGTCAGTGCAATAAAGTCGTTTCTCTGGACTTTGAACCTTGTGCTCAAATGATCTAAAAAAAAACAATGTCAAAGACCCATACATTTTAAATCCTGGTATTCCAGACAAATAATCATTAAAAAAAAAAAAGTGTACCCAAGTCGCACCCAAAAAAAATCATAAAAAATTATATTTATCGACCAAAACAATATTTATTCACATACAAAATATGAGATAATCAGTAAATTTGTGAACTGACTTTCCAAGCTTTAAAAATGTATTTATTGTAACCCATTCTAAATCCCTTGACCCATTAGCCAGTTAACACTAAGTAATGAGAAGGAGCTAACACGATTACATTACATGGGGGTAAAGCATAGTGAAGCATGTCTGTGCTGCCTTTCAGGCCAAGATAGGTGACATTATAACCAACTCCTCGTGGGAACAATCAGTAGAGGTACCTTGGAGTGGCTAGTGCATCAAAGGGCTAGGCATACATGGGAATGCCCAGTATGCAGTAATTAAGATTTTGATAACATAACATAAAATTAGGGAATTCTGATGCCCTAATTTCTATATAAATAAAGCAATTTTCTGCAAGGAAACCTCACCTGAATGCTATTTTTAGCAAATTTGCTCATTATCAGTCATTCTAAAAAGTTGCCCAGGAAAACAACTGAAACAGTGGTGTTGACAGGGCGGCTGGAAAACAACCGTCTATAGTAAGCTGAGACAGGGACATTTACGGAACAGTGGCACAGATTGTAAGCTATGGGTTTTGTGCTTCTCTGGGTGAGAGCATGAACTTTCACTTTTAATTTGATGCATTAGAAATTATGTTTTGCTTCGCTGAGAAATTATGTGCAACTTAAAGCACAGTAAGTTTTTTTGCTTTATATGAATGACACAGATTTCATTTACAGTGCTTGAAATAACGGAGCTTTTGTTTTACAGGTTGGCTATGAACCATTGTTGCCAGAACTGACGAAAACTTTCTTCTTAAGAAAAGAAGTATATGTATATCCAAATATCTTCAAATACAGTTAGTATTTTTTGTTCTTAAATTTTTTGTTTAAATTATTATTTAAATTTTTAGTCGAGATGTGTTTTTTTTTAAATGTTGAACAAAATCATGGACAAACAAGAAAACACTCACTAAGGTATTGACTGCTACAGGTTTGACGATCATTTATAAAAATCAAGAGAAAAAGACGGTTGAAAATTTATGAGGCATGCCGGCAGAAATGGTAAGGGCGTGGGGGGGGGGGGGGGGGGGGGGGGGGGGGGGGGGGGGGCGTGGGTGGGAGGGGGGGGGGGGGGGTTGAAAATCGGAAAACAGAGTTAGAAAGTAACTAGGGAAAAGCTGTAGGCTAAGACAAAGAAAGCTTTATGAGTAATGTTGAAATTGCCGGACAACAAAACCAATTGGGCAACAAAAACTTCATCAGAATCTCAGTTGAAAGAAAGTATTAGAATGTCATGATCACAGAAGTCTGCAAACAAGCTACCTAAAGAAGAAGTCTGTATACAGAGAGGTGACTCCTTTAGCAGGTAGCTTCTATTCCTCCTGGACTTAATGAATATTCCATACTGAGTATTGATGTTTTCAACACGTTAGTTCCAGCTTAGACTGTCTATTGGTACTTTCAACATGGTATCCCTACAACTCAAGCGTGAGTTATGGATGAAGTTTCTTTGTCTTATATTTGAATCATGTTTGTGCAAATTATATTATATATGTGCGTGATTTAATTAGTCACATGATTCTCCCCACAGTTGGTCATATAAAAAAGGTGGATGGGTTTGCTGGTTTGTACAGAGGGGTTTTGCCCAGAATTGTGGCCGGAACACTTGGAAACTTAGTCCAGTACAATATACAGAATGTAAGTGCTTTTATATTTCATTGTGACTGGTCTGTATTTTTCTGGCTTTTACATCACATTGTTTTTTATTTGAGCTTCTGGCTCCTCGCACATGTTTATTAATTTTCGTGTCTGTGCCTGTCCTTCTGTGTTATTGATGTGATTTGCATCTTTCCGTCTTTTCAGATGATAGTGTTATATTGCGCTATGAGGAGGCATGGGGCTCACAGCCCATGGCGATGGCGAGTATGACTAGCAAGTCTTGCCTGCCTTAAGAAAAGTCTTCCACAGTTATAGCATGGGATTTCAGCACCATTGTTACCATTTGTGTTTAGTGTGTTTCTTCTCAGACGCTTAGCTATCATCCTTTCTCAGTTATTTCTTCTTTCATTCTCATTCCCTTCCTGAAGTTCCCCCTCCACACAATACCGTCCATGGCTTCTGTGTAATTACCCCTTAGGTTATTAAGTAATTGATCGACATCCTCATTGTACATTGTACATGTCCAAATGTACACATAACCTATTTTCAGTATCTCCCTCAGTGTGTGCTGACTGATAACACTGTTGTCTGGAAAGGTGGAAAAGTGCCAACCAAAGTTTGTGACCGAGGTCTTGCACGGATTTCTCCTGTCAATGCTCTTTGCAAGTGTGGCAGTGTTGTAGCCCGCTGATTTAGTCTTAGTGACAGTCTAGTAAAAACTGGCATTTGCCCAGCTTGATAGGGAAACCAGCAAGGGAAAAGAGCAACAAGAAAAGTTATAAATACCTGATGGCTTTGCCACATGGCTTAATTGAGGGAAGAACAGAAGTCTAGTCTGACCTCTGATGTTCCTGTGACATACTGGTATGGCTTGTGTTGATGGTGGTGATTGGCTCTTTAATGTAATCAGGTCAGAATTTGTGTTGTTGGTCTCATCACAACTTGTCTGCGGCTGTCCCGTCACAACTTGTCTGGCTGTCTCATCACAACCTGTCTGTAGCTGTCACATCACAACTTGTCTGTAGCTATCTCATCACAACTTGTCTGTGGCTGTTCCCTGGAGAATAGTTTTTGACAAGGACAGTTTAGCAGGTTGTTGGTGTACATCATCCTTTCATTATTTTGTTTCAAAAAATCCACTCAGCATCCTAAAATAAATGTTTTCTTCTTTGTTTTCACCAGCTTTAAACTCTGATGGAAATTTGTACGTGCTTGTCCACCTCTGGACTTTAGTCTTTTTCTAGAACCTGAGTTTTAAAGATCTGACTTATTTGTATGCAGACTGTTGGTTCCTTGCCTCTGTGGCAGATGTCCTGCAGCTTCCTAGGAAGCCCCCAACTAGACTACTCTTAAAACATGCTTGTTTGGGGAGACAGTTGGTCTGTTCTTGTTTTACCCCAATGAGGCGCACGGAACCCACACAGGGAAAATGTTTCAAATTATGTGTTCCTAGTTGTAGTGCCATTATAGTGTTGTTTATCAGCAATTTCAGTTAGGTTTAAGAATAGTTATTTTATGGTTCTAATTTATTATGTTTCGTTTGCTAGAGAATTAAACTAAGTCAGGACAAAAAGACCTCAAAAGAAACAGAAAAGTCTCCTGAAAAGATTGATGAGGACTTTGTTGCATGGTTGAAAGCATTTGCTAAAGAGGTAAATTTTGTCAGTGAATGTTTTGAGTATGTCATTTTTTTTTTAGGTAACCTCGAAATTATAGCTGCCTCTAGTTATCATCAAGATAAGACAGAATACATGGTAGTAACAAGACAGGGAAAGGATTAAAAACTCCAACCACATACAAGTGGATAACTATCTATTTGTATGTGGTTGTTTGTATTCTTTTTCCTACTATATAAGGAAATCAAGCAAACAGGAGCATACTAGTACTTGAGTACAAACTTCAACATACTAAGAGAATAAATATACTCTACTGTCTGGAAATAAAGTATACTAAGCCTTACGTCATCTGCTAAATTGGCATCAAGGTTACAAAACCATCTAAAAGAGATGAAGCCTTGTTACATATTTTTGAGCATAGTTTTACAGTGAATCTTTGAACCCATCAGAGATGCCAGCAGTGCAGAATTGACAGTGGGAAGCAACAACAAAATTCACAATCTGTTTAAATGACAACTAATCAATGGTGTCATAGGGGCTCGTATGCTCAGTTGGTTGGGGTCTACAAATAAGATGACAGAGAAGTAGAAACTTTGTACACAAGGCAGACCAAGAAGTCGGTATGAAGATAATATCCAGACAGACCTACAAACACTTGACATCACCAACTAGGAAAAAAAAAGGTTAATCACAGAGATGAAAGGAAGCAGGTGATATCTGCAGCAGTGAACTGGAAGGCTCTGAATGCTGAAGAAGAAGATTGTATTCTTGATGTGTTAAAATATAGTTACTGATTTCTTTTTCTCTTGTCTTAGTACCCCAACCGATTCCTGCCACACTCTTTCTAGATTTGTGTGATCTGCTGAATTGCCCCCTCCCCCCACCCCCGGTATTTTAAAACTATGCTTGGTAGCTATTTTTTAGTCTCTGTGTGTGTGTATACATGTATTAATGTGTTGTTGTTTGACACAGTGAGTGTGAACAAGATATAAAAGTAAAGTAAAGAAAGGACTTCTCACACCTTGGGTCATCAGGCACACAATGCTGTATCTTTATAGAACAGCAGGTCCTTGATGGGTAACTTGATTAGCATCTCACTGGCAACTTGATTAGCATCTCACCGGCAACTTGATTAGCGTCTAACCAGCAACTTGATTAGCATCTCACCGGCAACTTGATTAGCATCTCACCGGCAGCTTGATTAGCATCTCACCGGCAACTTGATTAGCATCTCACCGGCAACTTGATTAGCATCTCACCGGCAACTTGATTAGCATCTCACCGGCAACTTGATTAGCATCTCACCGGCAACTTGATTAGCATCTCACCGGCAACTTGATTAGCATCTCACCGGCAACTTGATTAGCATCTCACCGGCAACTTGATTAGCATCTCACCGGCAACTTTATTAGCATCTCACCGGCAACTTTATTAGCATCTCACCGGCAACTTGATTAGCATCTCACCAGCAAACTTGATTAGCATCTCACCGGCAACTTGATTAGCATCTCACCAGCAAACTTGATTAGCATCTCACCGGCAACTTGATTAGCATCTCACCAGCAAACTTGATTAGCATATCACCGGCAAACTTGATTAGCATCTCACCGGCAACTTGATTAGCATCTCACCAGCAAACTTGATTAGCATCTCACCGGCAACTTGATTAGCGTCTAACCAGCAACTTGATTAGCATATCACCAGCAACTTGATTAGCATATCACCAGCCACTTAATTAGCATCTCACCAGCAACTTGATTAGCATCTCACCGGCAACTTGATTAGCATCTCACCAGCAACTTGATTAGCATCTCACCAGCAAACTTGATTAGCATCTCACCGGCAACTTGATTAGCATCTCACCAGCAAACTTGATTAGCATCTCACCGGCAACTTGATTAGCATCTCACCAGCAAACTTGATTAGCATCTCACCGGCAACTTGATTAGCGTCTAACCAGCAACTTGATTAGCATATCACCAGCAACTTGATTAGCATATCACCAGCCACTTAATTAGCATCTCACCAGCAACTTGATTAGCATCTCACCAGCAACTTGATTAGCATCTCACCGGCAACTTGATTAGCATCTCACCGGCAACTTGATTAGCATCTCACCGGCAACTTGATTAGCATCTCACCGGCAACTTGATTAGCATCTCACCGGCAACTTGATTAGCTTCTAACCAGCAACTTGATTAGCATCTCACCAGCAACTTGATTAGCATCTCACCGGCAACTTGATTAGCATATCACCAGCCACTTAATTGGCATCTCATCAGCAACTTGATTAGCATATCACCAGCAACTTGATTAGCATCTCACCAGCAACTTGATTAGCATATCACCAGCAACTTGATTAGCATATCACCGGCAACTTGATTAGCATTTCACCAGCTACCTTTACCTCTCAGGACATTACCTGGTGCCCATTTGAGGCTGGCTGATCTTGGAGCAGAGATCAGTTTTAAAAGCAATACATCTAGATTTCAACCCTAGACCTTCTGGCTGGCAGGTGTGTGTTTGTCATGTGCCACTACTGCTCCCATGAACAAAATATGCCACATTGCAAAAGAAGATGTGCTGACAATAGTAGCCAGATTTTGTGTGATTATGATATCCTTCTTTTTCTTCTTCTGCGTTCATCCGAAGATGTAATTGCATTGTGTCCGTTTACAGCATGGCTCCGATATTTGCACCTTTCGGCCAACACATCCGACTTCTGTGGGCATTTGTTGACCGGGTTAGCCTTCCCAGTTATGATATCCTATATTGTAAAAAAAAAAAATAGATTAGCAAAGCCAGCTGGCAGCTGTAATTTTATGTTAACAGAAATGTGGCATTTTGTAAAAAAACAGACTGGCTGTGCCAGATAAGAGCTGTTAATTATATGTAGACTAATGTTACAGTGTGCCTATCACTGCAGTCGTCGATGTTTGTAAATTCATCTGCAGAAAATCCATGTACTCAATGCTTGTTTCTTGTGCCTGCAGACTTCTGAAGACACTGTGAGCAGATGTTGTGGTGTGATCGTCAGCCATCCCTTCCATGGTAATTACTTTTACAGATAAACAGGATCAATGTCTACACTGGGAAGACCTTGAGGCACTTATTTGCAGTGCTAGCAATGTAAAGATATTACTAAATATCTCATAAACTGATTAAAAAAAAAAGCTCAACTGAAGGAATAGAAAAGACACATTCTAATAAATCAAAACCTTTTAACTAAAGTCGAAATCAGTGGGGTACTAAATACAACACACACTGTGACTAGAAAACTCAAGCGTTTACAAACAGCTAAGGTCGGTATGAAACTAAAAATACATGATGTGAGAAAATATGGTCATGAGGGGCTTTAGGCTTTATTATGGAACAAAACAAATAAGAAAGCATCTGAAAAAATAGTAGGGGGTGGGGGGGGGGGAGGTATAAACATGTTAAATAAAGGCCTGCTGAATGCCTATCCCAGCAGGATTGAGGTTGCTGAAACTATGAATGAATGAAGCCATATTTGAAGAAAAGGTTCTGTACAAACTGGGAATCTGGTTGGCTAACCTTCTAAGGAACACAGTATCTGTTAACATGATTCAAAATGCTAGTGTTGCACATCTTGTTGGTTTCTTGGAGAAGGGAAGGAGACTTTGCACTACAGTCCCTTGGTAGTGGTACTTTAGTAAAAAATCTCTATGCCCACCTCATTCATATCAATGTAAGTCCTTTTCAGGGTTCATATAAACTCATGTCAGTGGAAGTGGCGTGGAAAAGGGTCCTATACTTTTACTTTTAATATATTGTTTTTACACAATTATGAAATAACATTCTTTAAATCTGTAGGTAGATACCGAGCATTTAGTCTTACTGAAAAAGAAAATATTGCTGTGTTTGTTTTACCATGTTAGTGATATGATAGTCAGTTTAAAACTTACTTGGTAACACAAGGTATGCATGAGTTTTTCAGCTAGAAGAATCGATAGTGTTGCTTCTGTTTGTAAGTACAAGCAGAGTAAAGAGCACCCACATTTTTTTTTTTACACCAGTAGAACGTCAGAATGTGATGCTGCACTCATATTATTAGAGACCAATCGGCACTCACTGGGTGATGTGGTCGTCATCACACCTGTCACATTTACTTCCCAGAACATTACCTGGCACCCATTTTTGGCCAGATTGACCTGGGAGCGAAGGTCAGTTTGTGAAGAAAAAAAATTTGACTCGATGCAGACTTGAACCAAAGATGTTTGGGCCAGCAGGTGAGGTGAGCAAGTAGCCACTACACCACCACGGTTCTCTTCTATGGTTTGTTTCTTGATTATTCAACAAATTGTGTTGTTTTTCTTCTGATAGTGATTATGGTGCGCTGCATGGTGCAGTTTATTGGCCGGGAGACCAAATATGAGTAAGTTTATAAAGTTGAAAGGTTCATTTGCAGGATTTATTTCTATGGTTGACAAGGATAAAACTGTATGAATTGACTGCAACGGTTCTAATAGTAAAAAAAAAAAATTTAAAATTGATGTGTATAAATCGCCACAATTCTTCATCTTCTTTCGCTCACTTGAAATATGTACATCTGCAATTTTGTCTTTTGTAATTCACTCAGCGACCCGTAAAGTCTGACTTGCACCAGTGTTTCTCTTGGCCAGAAGTTTTTGTCTTGATGTGTTTTATTTGGGACAGTCTTGGAGGACGTGATCACCGAAGTGATTGCTACAGTTTGAAAATAAATGTGTATCAATAATCCTAATTGTTGTAACAAATGGTTAGAATGCTGGGCTGTTATTTGGGAGACCGAGGTTCGAATCTTTAATAAATAGGTGGATTTTTTCTGTCAGGGGCAAAAACAGAATCCTAACATCCCTGTATGGGTTCTGAGGCCCCATTTTGAGGACAACAAGAACAGACCCACTGCCTCCCCAACATGTATGTTGTGGGAGTTGACTAACTGGGGGCATCCTTGGAAGTTTAAGTGCCTGAGAGACAAGAAACCAAGAGTCTGCATACAGGTAAGTCAGAGCTGTGAAACAGATGTGCATGCAGCATGCATGTTCTGAAACAAGACCAAAGTCCGGAGGTGGATGAACATCGAATGCGAAAAAATCCTGACCTGCAAGTTGGTGGTGACTGCACGAGCCATATGACAGAAAAGCCTCGGGCTCAAGAAGCAAGCCCGCCTCCCTAGTACCAGTTTCTCCTATACCGCCCTAACAATGGTTCACAGACAGTAAATAAAGTTGCTACAGTGCAAACATCAATCTGCATTCATTGTTTCAATACTCTGTTCCTGACTGTATCTTCTTCTTCTTTTACTGCTTTGGGTGTCGAGGTTCTGCTTCTTGCTTTTCTGGCCACCTCAACAGTATATACATTATGTTGTTGAATTTCTCTGATGCTATCTTTCCATCTTGTTCTTGGTCTGCCACTTGCTTTGCATCTTTCTTCTCTTTTTATGTATGCCTTATGTGGTATGGCATCACAAAGCGTTCTCTCTAAGTGTGCAAACCATTTGGTTTTCTGTTTTGGTATGTAATTGAGAATTGGTTCTATGCCAACTTTTTTTTCTTATGAACCCATTCCTGATTCAAACCCCCCCCCCCCCCCCCCCCCCTCCCCCATTCAATTCTGATCACTTCTATAGCCCTTCTCGGACATCTCATTTCCATGGCTTGATTAAATAACTGTAGCTCTCTCTTCTCAGACATCTCATTTCCATGGCTTGACTAATTGATTGTAGCCCTTCTCAGACATCTCATTTCCGAGGTTTGACTAAATGAATAATAGAAATCAACAATATTATGCATTATTGAAGCACTCAGAGCTTGTTTCTAGGTGAAAAGGTATCAGTACTTATGAGAGTGTCTATTACAAATTACAGTAATTATGTCTAAAAAGTGCTAGTACTGTGTATTGCCAAAAAAAAAAAACCCAGCCCTGATTGTTACTTTTTGCTGGTCTAATCTCAGAAGATGTTGGAGTACAGGGATACTGAATTTTTTCTGTGGTTTAGAGTGGAATTAGTAAAGTTGAAAAATAAATTTGTAAAAATGGTGTATTTTGGTTAGTGATGAAAGTTATTGGAGAAAAAAAAAGGTGACAGTATTCAAAGCTGTGAATTCTCTCTCTTTCTCTGTCACACACACATGTGCATAGAGAGAAAAAGAGAAAGGTGTGCCTATAATACCTTACACTCCTTCACTCACATACCTTGCTCTTTTCATACCACAGACAGTATTTCTTCATTGTTGACCATCCTGTCTACTCTTTCATTGCCCACAGCACCTGCATATCCTGGTGTGAGGATAAACATGGCTATACTAATTATAGACCTCTGTGGCAGTTGCATCCAGTTTCTGGATCATCCTCAGTGGAACATTTAGTATACAGCTGTAGCTGAAGTGTCATGACTGAAGCCAAGGAAATGTCACTCTTACTGCCAAAACCTCCATTGTTATATTGCTTGTGATGTTTTGTTTCATGGTTATTGACGATTATCTGGTGCTTATTTTGTGATTTCCAGCTCCATATTTTCGTCTATAAAGGAGATCTACGACAGAGATGGTATTCTAGGTTTTTTTGCGTAAGTGAAACTTATAATCTTTATTTTGTTGGCTGTTTGTGAACCCTGTAGAAGCCAGTGAGTTTTCACTCTGTTAACTCATTAGTGTCCAAATGAACTAAACCTTGAAAAGATCTTGTATCGGACGGAGTGAATAATTTTTTGTAGAAGCGTTTCTCTCAGTTAAGCACAATGTGTACAGTCTCTAGGAATTGTACTGCAGATTGTGCTTATCCTGTGCCAGCTAAGACAACAGTGGGATCTGCAACATGGTACTTAGTCTTAGTCGAGGTTTCAACATCACCACAATGAGGTTCCCCTTACTTGCTCCATTCCTGTGCCTGTGCAAATCAAATTAAATGTCCGTCACTGTCACATTTGAAAAACTGGTGAATAAACAACTAGTCTGGAACAATCCAGAAATATATGCACACAATAAATAGGTATTTCAGTTGTAGAAACGCCAGAGCCAGCAATTGCCACCAGAAATTCAGTTTCGATAAGCCGGTTACTATACACATGTAGAATTATTACGTAAGGTATTTCACAACTCATACTTAAACCGGCTCCAGCCATATTCAGTGCTACAACACAACAGTTGCACAAATGAAAGGCATCCCACAGGAAATCACAACTCACAGGGCTGCAACCAGGCAGTAGCTCAGGGAGCGAAACTGTTGTCCTTATGTGGAAACTGCATTAGCAAAGTGCTATTGGAAGCAAAAAACAACTTCCAAGCTTAACATTCTGGCAAGCCTTTCCTCCATTTTACCCAGAAGTCATCCAGTATGGTACTGATACGTCCCGTTTGTGGAGAGCCCTGTTAAGATGTTACCGGGCAGTAAACAGCATTAGAAGTCTCTGTCTTAGCACCAGCAAGCAAACCAGCAGTAGAATGTTGAGAGCATCCACCATGTCTCTAGCAGTATATGGATGTGATTCGTGGACTGTCTCGCAATCATTAAGGAAGACATTTGTTGCTTATCAGCTGAAATGCTATAGGAATATTCTCAGAATACCATGGACTAAGAAGAAAGAAATACTAACATCCTAAAAGATCTGAACGTCGAGGACATTTGTCTCGGAAACTGAAATATTTTGACCATATGAAACATCACGGGGTACTGGAAGAAACAGTAGCAGAGGGCATTATACTGAATAAGACGGAGGAAACTACCAGTACGGAGGTCCACACAAGACATGATAGACACCTTGGGCAGGAAATGCAGTTTTTATGTGAGAAGTGGACCCAGCCTAAAATGGGTACCAACTAAAGTGCTGGGAAGTCAAAGTGGCTGACATGACGATGACTGCATTGCCCACCAGGTGCCAGTTAATCTTTAGAAGTATGAGTGTAGCCTAATACGCCCAAGACTCCACTGGTGTAGAAATGGTACCTGACCTTTTGATGGTAGAATAAAATTAAGACACTAAAAAAAACCCAGATTCTTGAGATAAATAACAAAACAACATATTATGTTTATGTATCAGTAATCCTGAATATAATTTATTGGTAACCCTTATGCTCTTCATTGATAACCCTTATGTTCGTGCATTGATAACCCTTATGTCCGTGCATTGATAACCTTTATGTTCGTGCATTGATAACCCTTATGTCCGTGCATTGATAACCCTTATGTTCCTGCATTGATAACCCTTATGTTCCTGCATTGATAACCCTTATGTTCGTGCATTGATAGCCCTTATGTTCGTGCATTGATAACCCTTATGTTAATGCATTAATAACCTGTATATTTTGCATTGATAACTCTTTTGTTCGTGCTTTTAATAACCATTACGCTCGCTCATTGATAACCATTTCGTTTGTTCATTGATAACCCTTTTGTTTGTTCATTGATAACCCTTTGTTCCATGTTGATTTCTCGAACAGGGGGCTGATACCTAGGTTGATTGGTGAAGTGATTGCTATCTGGTTGACCAGCTTTCTAACCCAGGTTATCAACAAATATATGATTCAGGAGAAGGTTTGTGGAACAAATATTAAACTTATGATTAACGTAGAACAGTTATTAGATTTACATTTTCCCTGTGTTGGGTTTATGACCCCGCTGGAGTATTAGAAGAGGCAGCTAATTAAAATGTTGCTGAAATCAGATGTGTTTGGCCAAAAGGCACAGATATCACAGCCTAACTTTAAACTGCAACACAGTGTGTCAGTCACTATTTTAAGGAAGAAAAACAGCTATTTTATTCATTATACATTTCTGCTACATACAGTAGTACATACATGACAATTTGTCAATTTATCCACGAGAGAAATTCAAGGAAATTCTGTGTGTTTTTTGTCGGCACAGCAGCGGAGCAACTATGGAGCCACCCGTTTGCTATGAAGCTGAAACTAAGATGACCAAGATATTTAAAACCTATTGTTGGTTTTACCAGCTTACCATGTGTAGACAGTTGTTACTGACATAAAGACATGAAAGGGGAGATCATATTTTACCAATTGTTACTGTTATAAAGACATAAAAGGGGAGATCATATTTGACCAGCCTACGATGTGATAACAGTTGTTACTGACATAAAGACATGAAAGGGGAGATCATATTTTACCAATTGTTACTGTTATAAAGACATAAAAGGGGAGATCATATTTGACCAGCCTACGATGTGATAACAGTTGTTACTGACATAAAGACATGAAAGAGGAGATACCATTTTACCAACTTATCATGTGATAAGAGTTGTTATTGACATAAAGACGTGAAAGAGGAGATAATATTTGACCAGCTTACCTTGTGATAACAGTTGTTACTGACAAAAAGACATGAAAGAAGAGATACCATTTCACCAACTTATCATGTGATAAGGGTTGTTATTGACATAAAGACGTGAAAGAGGAGATAATATTTGACCAGCTTACCTTGTGATAACAGTTGTTACTGACATAAAGACATGAAAGAGGAGATAATATTTTACCAACTTATCATGTGATAACGGTTGTTATTGACATAAAGACATGAAAGAGGAGATCATATTTTACCAGCTCACCCTATGATAACATTTGTTACTGACAGTGAGAATGAGAAAGTAATATTCTCCTGTTCAATATTTTCAGGATCTACAGTCCTACACTGGAGCTGCTTGTGGGGTAGGTAGCATTCCTTGTTTGTGTGTTGGTAGAGGTTACCTCATGGCTTTATAATTTGTCCTAGATTAGTGTTTTTCAAGTAGTGGACCACTATGTGTATGTATTGTTACAGGTTACCTTGTGAAGATTATTATGGGCTGGAGAGAATGAGGCACCTGGGTGTAACCAGAGAGTCTGGCCGGCTCACTACACTCAGAAGACGGACATAGATTGTAACCGGTACCATGAGTATTGGAACTCCGTGCTGGCTGCTGAAGATGAGGATGGAGCATGCATGGGAATGCCCCGAGCGCTGTGATGTCAATTCTTGACTCAACTCAACTTGTGGCTTTAAGATATGACCTAGATCAGTGTTCTTTGAGTGGTGGTTCAAGGACCACTATTTTTGTGTATTGTTACAGGTTATCTCATGGCTTTAAGATTTGATCTGGATCAGTGTTCTTCAAGCGGCGGTCTATGGGCCACCACTGCCCAGCGGAAGTGTTCTCACAGTCCGCTAAAATATTTTGCCTACATTTGTGGGACATCGGATTCAACAGATAAATTGCTGTCTACATTTGTGTTGGGTTTGGCTGTCACATGCACTGCTAATCAATTTTCCCTGTTTTTCCAGGGTAAAAAGGTTGAAGAACTCTGACCTAGATGGCAGTATTAAGATTATGTGTCGGTAGTTGTGGTTACTATCTGCAGTCACTGATGCTTGTTAGGAATTTGGACTAACCATCAGCAGAAAGTAGACAAAGATTACAGCTCAAGGTGCTAATGATAGACTTGTAATCTACATTAATGGTAAAGAGCTGGAGACAGGTGAGCCTCTCAGTACAAGGGACACTCAGTCAATAACAGTCTATCAATGAAGCCAAGAAATCAACATCAGGTTAGGTCAGGCAGCAGCAGTGAGCAGGTTAACAAAATAAGAGTTTGGGAGAACACAAAGCTGACAATTAAAACATGTCTATCAAGCTTGTGTTCCGAGCACTCTTCTTAATGGCAGTGAAACTTGGTTGACTTATTCACAACAGGAAAAAAACAGCTAAATTCTTTCATCTTTGATGCCCATGAAGAATGCTTGGCATTAAGTTGGAAAACAAGGTTACAGACACCAAACACTGAGGTTAATGAAAGTGGTAAAAAGTAAAGGACCCTTTTCCACGCCTTTAGGCGTATAGGGCATATAGGGCTAGACCTATATTTGTATAGACCAGTCGGCACAAGATGGGTGATGTGGTCAACATCACGCCGGCCGCCTTTACTTCCCGGGAATGCACCTGGTACCCACTCAAGGCTGGGTTGACCTGAGAGCCAAGGTCATTTTTGAAAAAAGCCGGCTCCACCAGGGAGCACACCCACGACTTTCCGATCCGCGGCAAGCAACTAGCCGCTCCGCCACAGGGACTCCCAATGAAAGTGGATCTTGCTAGTAACCCTCACCATAGCATACGCTGTGATTCCAGTGCTCCTGTATCACTGGCAGTTGCAAGACGGTAAAGTGCTAATGGATCCGAAATTGTGAGAGTCAACGTAAAAACAACATGTCTGCTTCTTTCCCTGATCTTTCTCCTGAATGTAATACCATGGCACTGTGTTCCTGTGGTTCCTCACTATTCCCCTGTCATTCATGTCCCGCGTACACACATTCTATCAGAGCAGAGGCTGGCTCTAGATTTTTCCGCCATGTTTATTTCACCATGATTCAGATCCACGTTTGAGGCATATTTTTTTTCTTTCAAAAACTTGGTTCCAAGGTTGACCCAGCCTAAAATAGGTACTAGATAATGACATGGGAATTAAAGGCGGGCAGTATGATGTCACCCACATCAGCCATCGAGTGCCAGTTGGTCTATACAAATATAGGTCTAGCACTGTATGCCCGAGGTGTGGAAAGTTCCCTGCCTTTCTGGTGTTTTTAATTCACCACAGTGGATGTTTTTAGGGACTCTACCATCGTGAATCCTCTGGGTTTACTAGCCATTTCAGCCTTTAGAGACTGGGTGCGTGTAGTAAATCATCAGCATCAAATGGGAAAAATAACAAGATACTTGTCTGATTTCAGTTGGTTGTGTCACAGTTCACCTACCCATTTACACTTGTCACCAACATCATGGCTGTGAACAATTGTGGGTAGGTACCGTCACCATGTTGTTTATGCCATACTTATCTCTTCTGTTATCAGTCCCATTGTTAATCACATTGACAACTAATGAGCGAACCACCATGGTTTGTGCTAAGGTTGTATGATTTCTTTGGCATTTTTTGTGTGTGTGTGCTAATAGCATTGATGATAACTATTGAGTGAACCACCATGGTTTGTGCTGTAGTTGTATGATGTCTTTGGTATTTTTTATTTTTTTTATTTGTTAATCACATTAACAACTAATAAGTGAACCACCATGGTTTGTTCTAAGGTTGTATGATTTCTTTGGCATTTTTTTTTAAATTTGTTAATAGCATTGATGATAATAGCTATTGAGCAAACCACCATGGTTTGTGCTGTAGTTGTATGATGTCTTTGGCATTTTATTTCTTATGTGTTAATCACATTGACAACTACTGAACCACCATGACAGAGGTGAGATGTCTTAGGACATGAAGAACTGAGAGAAGATGGGCTAAAACCTGTTACATAGTTCATTAACTCATTCAACCCCTGAAGGTTATAGCTGATGCCTAAAGGAGGCACCAGTGAAACTAACAAACTCATGGGCATGCTAAATCCGTAGGAGGTGAATGTGCAACCCTTGTCTGGTGTGTTGTAGAGAGTTTTGCCTTGTCCTGCCTACACATAAAAATGTAGAAGCATAATAATATTTTAACTGGTGCGTTGTTTGGAACTGAAAGAGATAAACAGCAGCAGATGAGATAGTTTGGCTGTCTAACAAGAACACCCTAGTGCTAACTGCCAACAGAGATCCATGCTAAAGAAATATAATGAGCACATGGCAAGGGGAAGACCATGCAAAACATGGATCAATTGCATCAAGAACAGCCTGAGATCAACAAAGACCAGTTAGTTGTCACATGTGTTAAAAAAAGCACACAGTCCTGCAATGATTCATTGAGGTAGCTGAAGGCAGAAAAGACAGGAAAGGGTACTTTTATTTTAGTTCACTCTATCTCGGGGGATCCGAGAGTTCCCGGGGAATGTCAAATATTATAAAGGGGGTTGTGGCACGGTGATTTATGTCACAGGCGTGAGGGGAAGTTAAGTCCAACATGACGTGTATAAGGAGATACTCCGTACGTTACTCGGGCGCCAGTCCTTCACTATCCTGGTTGTACGGAACCTCACGCAAGACCCCTACAGCACGTCCTTGTCGTGCGCCACGGATAATGTCTCAAATGAGCATTAACAGAGCTGTCAGGGGATCTCGGAGTTCGGCGGCCCCCAGAGGTGATGTGTCCTTGTGGCTCTCATCAGCCCGCCCCCAAACGCTTGGGTGAAAAATGTTATCAAAACTCATTAGGAACATGAGTAGGTTTGCCAAAAGTACAGCCAAAATTACAACCCTTGGTTAAAAGACTGCGGAGACTGTTAACCCTCAGTGTCGTCGTCACCGCGCTGAGGTACACCACAACAGCAACCATCCATAGGCGGACCATCCTTGTACATCCTCGGTTAACCCTCAGTGTCGTCGTCACCGCGCTGAGGTACACCACAAAAGCTACCATCCATAGGCTGGCCATTCATACACATCCTCGGTTAACCCTCAGTGTCGTCGTCACCGCGCTGAGGTACACCACAACAGCAACCATCCATCGGACGGCTAAGCCTAAATGTCCGACAAAACTAGATCATACGGATCAAAATCTGACCATCAAAATTGGTATTGAACTGAAAAAGACCGAATGTCCACACCCAAAGACCCCACTCGCCCGAGTGTTGGGACAAAACTGAAAACGATATGCCCGATGCAGGATGTAAAATTCTGTCGGGCTAACGGCTCGTCAAAGAAATCTAACGTGCGAAGAAAAAAGAATGTACCTATTTGTGTGGTCACAAAAGTCCAAAACCCACGGGCTGCTCCCTGCTGACTTCCAGAGGGCGCAGCCCCTGCCGAGCGGGAGGCCTGATACGGTTGTGAGGTTAAGCAGGCATGTGCAGGACGTGACGATTCCTTGGGTGAGCCCAGAACCAGAGCGCCATGTGCCGGCTCTGCATACATGGATGCCTCCTTGGATGGCGGGGAATGCCCATGATCTGCCCCTGCCTTCCCTTGAGGGCTAACTGTTTCACAGGGGGCTGACCCAAAGGAGTACTCCGGGGGCAATACCTGCGGCGAAGGAGACAAAGTGGACACCACACAAATCAGGCAACGTCTCGACCCACACAAAACAATGGCCACAGTCAACCTAGAAATAGGCCTGACGTCTTCCTTCGAAGTCGGCGTACAGCTGCCCACGAGGCAGGGAAATGAAAAACGGTTGTACACGCAAAAATCAGGTCCAGGTGAAAGCCAAAAGTCCAAGCGGACGATTAACCGGGACCTTCCACTGGAATTCACAGCCGGTGTTCAATGAAAAAAAAAAAAAAATAAAGGGGGTTAAGGTTAGAGTTATTCTGTGCTCATTTCACATCGTAACACTCCTATAATATTGGACTTGTCGCAGCAACCCTCTGATTTCCCCAGATGGGGTGAACTAAAATGAAAGGATTGAAAACAGAATTCTGAACAAACTCAGATGGAAAAAACATTGCTGGAGGAATCAATCAATGAAGTTCTGTCTCTGTGTTAACAATAAAACATATATAGTAAAATATAAGACCCTTCAGGCATATTGGGCAAAGGGCTAGATCTGTGTTCTAAGCCCAATCAGCACTTAGTGGATGATGGAGTCAACATCACGCCGGTCGCCTTTACTTCTCAGGACTTTTATCTGATACCCATTTAAGATTGGGTCGACTTGGGAGGCATTTCTTAAAAAATATATATATATATATGCATGTATATATATATGTGGTCACCATCACGCAACATTTTTGAAAAAGGTTCAGCTCCGTCAGGGAGTAAACCCACTTCTGATCCGCAGCGCCTAGCCGCTACGCCACAGCGACTTCCATATGTATATATATATATATATATATATATATATATATATATATATATATTTCAGTTGTTCATTATATAATAATTATTTATTGGTATATTGCAGGCTGATTGCTGGTGAGTTTCCTCATATGCCAGTTTACAGCAGCTGGTTGGACTGCATGAGGTCCTTATCCCAGGAAGGCGAGCTGAAACGTGGAGCCAGTGCTTTCTGGCGAGCCTACAAACCACGTCCTTACCCTACAATATTAGGGTCTGCTTACGGGAATATGTATCTAGAGAAAAAGCGTTACTAACACTGGTTAGCTCAGGGGCCTGAAATAAATAATTTTAGAACCTTTATAGATGACTGAGATTGTGGTTTCCAGACATGCTTCTAGGAGACACTGTTTGCACAGAAAATCTGCTCATATTGTATATTTTATTTATGTTTAAGATGACAGATATCTACATTTTATTGAGAAACATGAGTTCAGAAGCGTACTATTGTTCAGCACTATAATTAATGCAGAAGAGTGTACAAAGATCAAATCTGAAAAGGAAATTCAGACTGGAAATTTGAATATGTAGAAAGCTCACCATGCTTGTGGAAACAAAAACAAGTCCTGGAAAGAAACAAGAACTTATGGTAGAAAATTAAAAAAAGAAAGACCATTCAACATTTTGTAGCCATATTAAATGACCCAGCACTGTTAATTAATTAAAGCCCCACCCTGTCTTCTGCGGGGGCCATGAATATAGCCTGGGCATAAATATGGCCTAACAACTGAAAAGGGGTTTCGGGGACCTCTCCACGGATGATCCTCATCTCATGGTGGCACATTGTGTCACTGAATGTTTATCGCTTGTATGATGTCCTGGTGGGGTACAGCTACCAACCTACCTACGTAGCAGGTTCTTTCAAGAAAGTTTCTCTCATCACCACATATTTTGAATTTCTCATTCTTCTGCCAGTTAAACTGCCTGTTTTATTTTCATACCCAGAGCATATTCAGTGTTGTATGTCCACGTTTGTGCTGGTTCACCTTTCCATCCATGACGGATTTTTCCTAAACACTGGCAGTTTTTTTTTCTAAACACCAGAAGTGTTTTTTTTTTCCTGAACACAGGCAGTTTTTTTCCTAAACACCAGCAGTTTTTTTTCCTAAAACCAGCAGGGTTTTTTCTTGAACACAGGCAGTGTTTTTTCCTTAACACCAGCAGTGTTTTTTTTCTTAACACCCTCAGTGTTTTTTTCCGAAACACCAGCAGTGTTTTTTCCTTAACACCAGCAGTGTGTTTTTTAAACACCAGCAGGGTTTTTCCTAAACACCAGCAGTGTTTTTTCCTTAAAACCAGAAGTGGTTTTTTTCTTCTTAGAACCAGAAGTGTTTTTTCCTTAAAACCAGAAGTGTTTTTTCCTTAAAACCAGAAGTGTTTTTTTTTTTCTTAAAACCAGAAGTGTTTTTTCCTAAACACTAGCAGGTTTTTTTTCCTGAACACATGCAGTGTTCAGTCTGGCCAGAATATTTCAGTTCGTGGTAAATTGCAATGGATGGCCTATGCAGAAAGAGAAACAAAAATGTGTACTCAGAAAAGTTGAATAGGACTGAAGAACCATAAGGCAGACAAAGAAGATGATGGAGAGATAATGTACTGGCAGACCTACAAACTAATGAAGTCACTGACTGGAAAGAGCAGGTCAAAGACAGAGATGAATGAAGTCACTGACTGGAAAGAGCAGGCCGAACACAGAGATGAATGAAGTCAGAGAGCTGTGTAAATTAGTTGTTTTTATTTAATAGTATTTGTTTCTAGAGATTTCCACAGTCATGGCCTATTTACCTTAGCGTTATTGAGGCAACAAGGTTAAATGACGCATCACATTCTCCTTCATTTTTCTTACACCTGTGTTTCTTGAGTGAGTAGGGAAGGGAAGAAATAACAGAATTGTGCAGAATGAAAACCACCTTGACATCTGAGGGTCACAAGGTTCAAATGTCACATTTATAAAATAATGGGATTATAAACTTTGGCAGAAGATGGGTTCTTGTGCCTTTTCATTGACTGTACATGTTAGAGATGAGTTATTTCCCTGTAGTTACACAGTCACTTTATTTGTTGTTTAAAATAAATTTAGAGAAATGTCTGGGCAACCGCTGGCATCAATGGTTATAAGACAAAGAAGGTGGCATATAGAGAAATGTCTAGGCAACAGCTTGCATCAACGGTTAAAACACAAAGAAGGTGGCAGTGTATAGAGAAATGTCTGGGCAACAGCTGGCATCAATGGTTATAACACAAAGAAGGTGGCAGTGTATAGAGAAATGTCTGGGCAACCTCTGGCATCAATGGTTATAACACAAAGAAGGTGGCATATAGAGAAATGTCTAGGCATCGCTGACATCAACAGTTATAACACAAAGAAGGTGGCATATAGAGAAATGTCTAGGCATCGCTGGCATCAACAGTTATAACTCAAAGAAGGTGGCAGTATATAGAGAAATGTCTAGGCAACCGCTGGCATCAACAGTTATAACACAAAGAAGGTGGCAGTATATAGAGAAATGTCTAGGCATCCGCTGGCATCAACAGTTATAACACAAAGAAGGTTGCAATATACTGGGCATATCCTGTAGAGATGCCACCGAGAATCATCAAACGAGGATTTTAAATGGGAAACAGGGGGACTTTGTATGTACTGGGTTTAAAGGGATAGATATTTCAGCTTTACTATAAATCACAACATAACTCGCCATCTGCCCATATGAGACCGTATGCAGAAAAAGAATCTTCATACTTGCAGTATACTCACACAGTGTAGACTGCCTAAATAGATAGTTGTCTCAGCAAAGTCACACAGGACCAGATTAATATTTCATGTGCAGGTCAGTTATGTTATGGGAGACTGAACACCTGCGAGAGAGAATTGAGTATACTGATAATTGCATAATATCAGTAACATGTAGAAATACACTAATGAAATTGTGTCCAATGCTTTCATGTAATGCTGATCAACTGCTGCGCTTTATTTTATATTCAATTTGTTAGTTATTTCAGTGTCATTCCTGTCCTGTGCTGGCCATTGGGTTCTTGACTTTGTACACTTTTATTTGCTTATGTTGTGACTGTCCTGGCCCACTGGTCCAGTTATCATTTTTGTGTGATCCTCTCAAAGCAATGATTAAAAAAAAAAAATCCAGACTTCCAGGTCAGCCTTACCTAAAAGGGGTACCAGAAAATGTTTTGAAAAGTAAATGTGGCCAATGCCACATCAGCCTTTGAGTAAAAAAAAAAAAAGTAAAGATCCCTTTTCACACCTTTCGGCGCATCGGGCATATGGGCAGAGCGTCCCATGTTTTTACAGACCATCAGCACTCTGTGGGTAATGTGGCTGGCATCATATACCTAACATGCCTCAAGATGTAGAAAGGGGTCTTTGACTTCCTTATCGCACACACGTCTCATTATACAGTTAATGGGTTACTTTACAATATGTTTGTAAAAGTATTAAATGCGGTAGAGAATTAGGACCTGTTGAAGAACAAGAGAACATGAAGGATTCTTCTGTGTAACAGGAACAAAAACAATCAGTGTGTAGAGGAATGTAGAGTTCCTTGGACAGGCAGAAAGAGCAACCCAGATGTTTTCAAAGAGGTGAGGGCTTGAAGAAAGGTTACCACAAACATCAAAAAGAGACAGTCATCATTTTTTGGTCATGTTATGAGAGGACTAGAGGAGCGATGGCCGAGCTGTTACAACTTGGGGCTCTCAATTTGGAGACCCCAGTTCGACCAACCAGTAAGGGGATTGAGTTATTCTATTTTTTTTTTTTTTTTTAAGCCATTTGTCATAGCGGGGTGAAGTGTCAGCACACAAACTGATTTGTAGTTTAGCTCTTTGTCCAGTTTTCTGTATGGCAGTAGTTTAACATATCAGTGTTTCTGTGTGATTTGTCTTATGTTTGATATTTTATGTGTGTGAGAGATTCTGTATGAGAATTACATTCTTATATATGGGCATACAGTTGATTTTGATTGAATCAATGTCATCGTCAGCTGATGTAGTTGATGTCCATTATTAGCTCTCGAATTTCACAGTGAATAATAAATTAATGAAGAAATACAATTGTGATTGTTTTTAATGAATGAGTGAGTGAGCGAATGAAAGAATCATTGAGTGAATGAAGGACTCAGTCCATCAACAGTTGTCATTAGTGCACTCTGAGTCTTTTTCTTCACATTCCCCGGCTATAAACTCCGACAGAAAGTTCTGGTTGTTTGCCTACTTCTGGACTGTAGTCCTTTTTTTCCAGAATTTGAGTTTTGTATGCACATTCCTTTTGCAGATCAGGTTTATTTAGATGCAGACCGTTAGTTCCTTGCCTCTCAGGCAGACACACTCTTGACTTTGAAGGATGCTGCTGATTAGTTGACTCTTATGACATGCTTGTTTGGGAAGATAGTGAGTATTCTTAATTTTTGTTTCTCCACTACAATGAGTCCACGGAACCCATACAGTAATCCAGCAACTGTTCAAATTAGTACAAACACGAGAAATAGTTGATTCATTTGATTTGTATTGGTTTATACAACCAATCAACATCATGGCACAAGGGTAGTAACCCATAAGTGCTCCATTCTACTTCTAACTCAAGCCTTAGTGTTAACTAGATGAAAACCGGTCTCTGATTTGGACGCAGCCATGGAGAACTCAAAATGGGGGGGGGGGGGGGGGGGGTTGAGGGTTAAATCCTGCTTAATATATACTAACAAAAAATAATACATATTGTCAGTATTATATCTGACTGGTTAGTTGCGTATCCTTTACAGGACGTTGCAGAACCAACCCTAACAGCCCCTGGCTGTTATGTGGGTTTTCTAGGCAAATTTACGTCCAGTAGTTTGCCATTGCCAACTGGACGGTCGGCTTTCTTGATACCACTGTCGAAACCAACGCAAGGCGCGTGGCCCGCAGATGGGATCGAACCCAGCATTCCGTCATTACGAAGCGTTCACATCGACTGAGCCACAGAGTTGACATTATATCTGACTATTGACAAATAAAAAATCTATATTGGGGGCGGGGGGTAAGGTGTCTACTCTGCATATCAAATTTTCTAATAATATACTTGAAATAATTGATCGAAGGATGGGGACTGGGCTGGGTTAGGGCGCGTCTGTCTTAAGAAATGTCACAATTCTGGAGGAATACTGATATGTTTAGTTCCTGAACCGAATCTTGCGGCATGGAATCGGTGATGACAAGCGTCTAGTGATAGTAGCTAAATGTTTGCTGACGGGCTCAACAGTCTTGGGTTTCAAATGTGCGTCCATGCCCCCCTTCCCCTAATTTAAAAAAAAAGCAAAATTGACACGGGCTGTCAGGTCGATCCCGGCTAAGATGGCAGGTACTGCCAAATAAAAAATAAAATAGGTCTAGTCTAGAAGGCTCAAAGGACGCGCACAAGTAAAACTGAACGTTTCGATCAAAGTCTTTATCAATGGAGTACTAAATAAAATACAAACTGTGACTGGAAAACTCAAAAGGACAAAATAACAGAAGCAGAAGTGGACGAACAACCAGAACTTTCCACCAGAGTTTACAGCTGGTGAAAGCGAAGAAAAAGAAGAACAGAGCTTCTGAACAACCAAGGTCAACATGAAACCAAGAAACACACAAGGGAGGGAACATATGTACGTGAACTCTAAGATAATGAACAGATCAGAAGTTCGCAGTCATTCCTCACTGTGCCGTCTAACCTGTGTCTGCTTTAACATTAGTTTTGCTGAAAGGCAAACAAAATTATGATATTATAGACAATTTACATCTCATTCCCGTGCGTGGTTCACATAGGTGTCCCAGAACGCTGGTTTTCTCTGGGGCCTATAATACGGTAAAGACGACCCTTACATATGCACTATGCAACATTTGCGTCAGTTAAGTCCTATATTAAAGTTAGTTGCGTATCCTTTACAGGACGTTGCAGAACCAACCCCAACAGCCCCTGGCTGTTGTGTGGTTTCTCTAGGCAATTTACATCCAGTAGTTTGCCATTGCTTTCTAACTCCTATATATATAGTTTAAAAACATTCTCTCGCATCTTTTCGCAAACTGTTACTATTTTATGATTGCTATTTTATATCTGCCGCTCCATGAACCGGAAGTGAATGTTCTCCTTGTGTGCTCTCAGGGTCACTCACCGTGTGCTTGAAGATCGGAGAGCAGTTTATTTTTCACATTCACTGATTTTATTATTCAATTAATTACCTGTTTTATTGACTGATTTAGTTTATTGACACCCTATAATTACACAATGGATTTCTCTACGCCACCCGCTGGAGGACGAATGGATGCGGCAACAAGAGATAACTTGATGACACAAGTCAGACAACAGATTGCGTTAGCCAATGCACAGGAGCTTCTACAGGTAACTCGTCAACGACCATCATTCAAGTATGATCTACCGATCAGTCATAAAATATGTGCAAACTGGGCTTACAGTGACACTGTTTAGTTTTAAAACAAATTAATTTCAAAAGACAGACAACGTTTTGACTTGATAGATTAACTCTTGAACTAGCGATCACAACAAACAACTACAACTACAACTTTACAACAGTTCAGTACGTTCTCTGCATCCGGCATCCGTGTCTAAAGTCTTATCCCTTTCCAACCGTTAGTGGATAATAACCCATGGAGGTCACTCTTCCGAATACTGGTCTCAAATTATTTACTGCAAAAAACATCCCTTTGAGAGCCTCAGGAGGTTATGCAGTAAAAACATTTAGGCCATCATCATCATCATGTTTCCACTTTCGCTGTTTTTGCTCGATGATAATGATAGCAATGTTTAGACGTTAAGCCTAAGCTAAGTGCCGTGGGGAGAAATAGTTTTCGATCCATTGAAGAGGCATGGGGAGAAATAGTTTTTGATCTCCCCATGTGGGTTCCAGGGCTACATGTTTGCACACACACACACAAAAATTGATCCACTGCCACCTAAAAGCATGTTGTAAAAGGCTGCTAATTAGCACTTTTACTGAAATTCTATGATTTTGTGCAGAAGAGGCAGATATCACAGCCTAGCTATTAACCATTACAGAACAGGCCAACCGCCTTTTCAAGGGTGAATGAAAAGAAAGAAAATTAGGCTATCCCCTGAATAACAGTCCTAAATTATCGAGGCGGAAAATATACCCTAACAGGGTCTCAGTCACATGTGAATTGTGCACTTCCAGCGACTTCCGCCAACGCCGAGAGTATCCTCCCCGCGCCGCTCACGCGGCCTATACCTATTTAACCCTTTCGCTGCTATGGGGTCTTTTCCCGTTTTTCCGTACGCTGCTACGCCCGTCTTTGGACGTTATTTTTTTTTCTTGACCCCCTAGTGCTATGGACGTACCAATCCGTTTTTGAACTTTCCTTACAGATTTCTGTGACCTCTTGTCTCAGGGGCCAAAGGGCAATATACATTAGCTATATTTAGATTCAACTGCCCCATTTACATATGATTAAAAGCACTAGCACATGCATTTAAGGTGTGTTTACTGCATTCCACGTTAGCCCATCGCTTTGTTTACCGTGACAGCGTGGTCGGTGATCTGTGTATTTTGTGCCCTGAGATATATTTGTGTTTTTGGATTATTCTACACTTCGTTAATACTAAATGGCAAGAAAACTTGTTAAAGTTGATGAAGAATCGATGGAGTTTCTGTCAAGAAGTGATAGCGACGGCTCAGACCGGCGTGTCTAAGAAAAAGCTGTTTGCCTGTCCGACGTCCTCATCATCAGAATCAGAGAGCAGCGACAATGAAGCGCCATCAAAACGGCAAAAAAATTGATCTGTTGTCTTGGTAAACCGATGATTTGATACCAGTAGTGCATTATTTTGATGACTCCAGCTCTAGCTGTATTTCTGCTACTGTAAATTCAAACAGTTCAGTGCTTGATTTTTAAAATTTTTAAATATTTTTTATCACGGAATTACTAATGAGTTTTATCGCAGAAGAAACTAACAGGTTCTGCAAGGAAGTAATTGAGAAGGCACCTGTCACTACAAGTTCTCGTCTTTCCCGATGGACAGAAACAGATTCGGACGAACTTTCCCCCGTCTGTCTGCTAATGCTTAGAACAATGAAACTCAAAATAAATTAGTACTGGAGCAAAGACCTTTTGATTAAAAACTCCTGTGAAATAATGTTGAGGGACAGGTTTTTACTATTTTTGAGAATGTTACATTTCTCAGACAACAGTGCTCATGCAGGCAGCAATAGACTACAAAATTAGACACATTATTGAAAGTCTGCTCACATAATTCATTATAATCATTCACACAGTACATTGCGTCAAGCGATAGTCTAGTGTAGTTGGTATCACATCCGCCTTTGAATCGGATGGTCGTGTGTTCATCCCCAACTTTTTTTTAAATTGTAAATTTCCTTTCAGTTCTTGCTACTTTTCAGCAACGGATGTCTTGAGTATTATAATAATTTGTGTGTGTGTGTAATAACATGGTGACTCAAAATAACTATGATTAAAGTTGGAGCCATGGTAGGTTTGTCAATCAAATTTTATAGGATACGGACTGGGAACAGTTCTTCCCATTAATTCCTAACTCTCTCTCCCCCCCCCCCCCCCCCCCCCCCCCCCCCCCCCCCCCCCCCCCCCCACCACCACCCCCAGCGGGGTGGTAGCTTCATTGGTCAAGTTTGTGGGGCACCATCGTGCCTTTGACTTGTCACCACTCGTGCCAACCACACAACTTAACAGGGTAAAAATTTTGGGTGTACAAATTATAGCCCTCACCGCCGACGCATCCTTTGTATTTAGAGGATAGAAAAGTATTGCGCACAGCAGAGACTTTTTTCCCCACATTGCTTAGCACAGGGCAGACAGCTACGGCCGGGAATGTAGCTGCGAAAGGGTTACTGTTGGGTCACCCTGTGAAAAAGTTGGATGTGAACCAAAAGCCTTAGGATTTGCAGGCGAGCATCTAATGATTACACCACAGTGGGCTGTGTTTTTAGAACAGGTTGTTATTTGATTCAATGTATAGAGAATAAATGTATGAATTACTTGATGTTGAAGAAGTTTGTTTGCTTGAAGGTAACTGTTCACAATTCTTTCTTACAGAGAATGTCTGAAAAGTGCTACAAGAAGTGTATAGTTAAACCTGGGACAACTCTAGATAACTCTGAACAAGTAAGTGCAACTTTTGACAATCTGCCATAATTCAGAACAATGTTTCCCCGTTGTAAATTTGAACAAAGAGACCCAAACAATAGATTGCACAATTTATTGCCTGCCATATTTCGCTGTATCTCATCAGGTGCATACTAGGGTAACAATTACATAAATGAATCTTTTATAACTGAAGTACAATTTCAACATCGATCAAATATGACTGCCTGAGGTACTGCTGCAGAGCTCTCATTCCCCTCTCAAAGTCTTTACGGCTGCCCTGGTAAAAACAGGCCGTCACGTTTGATCGTTGTTGAAATTATACTTCAGTTATAAAGGATTCACTTGTTGACACCGGTGACGACAATGAGTAAAACACGACTCAGTATGCCTGAAACCCCTGCGACATAGAAGAGAGGCTACACCAGATCGAGGCATCATTGGGAAGGGAGGTCACTCTTATTGTTGGGTCTCTTATCTCGACATGTACTGTTTGAGCTAATTAGGAACCCCAGGTGTAGAGATTTTGCCACACATCACTACCATGCATCCGAATTACTTTGCTGACTGACAGCTACTGAATCAGTCGGCCACTGGGTTTTTCCCACCTGTGGTCAGTTCCTCGTAGGGCTCCGTTTCCCTTGCAGAACCCAGGCTGCAACAGTTTACCCGTGAATTTTAAGCCTTACATGTTTTTCACAGCTTTAAGTGGCTCAGACATCCGCTCTCGTCCCGTCAACATATGGATATTAATGCGCACTCATGCTTCATGAACTGCAGGCAGGTGATGGCACATAACATCTCAGTTCTGAAGGTTATTTGTAATGAACCTTGAACTTCAACTACATGCTCAGTCCCATTTTTCTAATGTTATCCCCCCCCCCCCCTATTATTTTCCTTCTTTTACTGTTTTCTGTTTTTCTGTTACCACGCATTAAAAGCTCCAGTGTCATGTCATTCTCATTGTTGAAATGTTGGCCGCCTGTAACTGACATCTTTGTTGAATGAATCTGTTCCTCAGAAATGCATTGCTATGTGTATGGACAGATACATGGACACATGGAACTTAGTCTCCAGAGTCTACAGCCAACGGTTACAGAGAGAGTCCAACCGGTTATCTTAACTGTTTTTGTTACATTGCTTTTGTTTTAACAAAAAAGATTTTTTTAAATATAAATTAATTATGCCTTGTTGTATTTTTTCGTCAAGAGTTAGCCCAGTCTGTCTGTTTGTTTGTGTGTCTGACTAGGTGGGCCAGCAATCTTGTTTTCCCATTCCGGTTAATATTTTACTGTTATGGTAAAATGTTTTGCTGGCCTGTTAATATTTTCAGTGAAGATCATCACAATGTTGTGATGGGAGATTGTAATAATTAAAGATCATCACAGTGTAGTGATGTGGGATTGTAATAGTTCATTCATGTAGAGCTGTAGCAGCTGAGTAATCACTTGGACATTATATCTGTTAATTGTTGACCTCATTAAATCTCTTTACAAGAGATGTGTCACATGGTATTGGCTCTCGTCTTGTCTTGTATTAGCCAGCAAACAGAATATTATACATTTGGTATGAGTATACTTTGAACCCGTCAATAATTTTAGATAGTCACTCGCTATTGCTGTGTACTTTGAGTTCGACGCCTCCTCATAGCACAATATAACAATATATATGTGTTTTCTTCTGTTGTAGGCTGACACAATTTCCAGTTCACATGTACTCACACCTTGGAAATCCTCTTTGAGGGCAATTTTTTTCTTTAATGGTCGTTTGCTGTGTGTCTGTTCCAGTATGAGTCATAAACAGGATGGTATGCTGTAGTCCATCAATCCTCATAGTTTGTCTTGTAGTGAGGCTTCTGTCGGTCACAGTTCTTCTCTCTGACTGGTAGAATCGGGGACAATCCCTAAGACACGCTCCGCAGTTTTCTTTGGTGCACCTCAGTCACCAGTTTGAGGTCGGTTTTCATATTGCATGGTTTTCCTGGGCCCTGTCTTCTGTTTGTATGATTTATTCTAGTTTTCTTAACGCTGAATGTCAAATGTTGGCAAGCTACTGACTGAACAAGTGATTCAGAAATGGTAGATGCATTTTAGTTATGGGTTTTAGGATGTCATGTTGCAGTGCTGACAGTCTAGTCTTACAATGAATCTTTGGAATGATGCAAACAGTGAAGAATGGTGAGTGAGCAGCAACAGTGTAATTCATAAACTGTTTTCATCACCACTGATCACTTGTGGCATCAAAAGGACTCATCGACTGCAATGGTTGGGGCTCATAGAAAAAATGGGAAATGACAGAGAAAGAAAACTGTATACACAAAAAGAGTTGAATGGAAGTAGAGATAATATACAGGCAGACTTACTCTAATTAGAAAAAAAAGTGAACATTTGTAACATACATATACACATGAGAGAATAACATCAAAAGATAGAACAGTGATCTGTCACAAAGGTACAACCAAAGATGACACACAGCCAGTGTGGAGAAAATTAGGCCAACTTTCATTATGGAGGCTGTGCCCGATTGATTGCATGTTCTATTCTGATCTCATCAGTCGTACAAAAGCAGAAAACAGTTTGTCATATTGATGTTCTTTTGAAACATTTGCTTGCTGAATTTTCTGTTTTGAGGGCAAATTTGTTAGTTGAGTATGTCTGAGAGGTGTTTGATTGACCAGGCTTAACCTTTGTGTAATAAAGTTATGAATTAGAAATTATGTGCCATTGTTTTTTTTTTGTATGCAAGAGGAGCTTTGACCAGGGTGTTGTCAGAATACCCATAATGTACATTAGAGGACTTTTTGTTTTTCTTGTAAACTTTTAACATGGTCTTTTAGCAAGTCCTGTTTGTCACACTTGGCCGCCCACCACAGGCTTTGATTTCCACATGTGTGTTCAGGTTCAGTCTGCGTAAAGTATAGATGGACCATCAAGGTCACCCACAAGTCTGTGACAGTCATATGACCTGTGCATCAGTGCCAAAATAAGTCCTTGACCTTTTTCTTACTATTGACTCCTGTCTGAAAACAGTATGGAAGGACATTATGTAGTTGAAACTGACTGGCGCAGGGGTTGAGAAAAGTTTATTAAGAAACACTTCTTCACATAATCATGTCACATTCTGACATGCCACCACACAAGATCTGACTGAAGTGGTGCACTAAAATTGCTTGAGTACGATTAGAGGTGATAGGGGAGCTCATACACGCATTCTCAAACCTTCAAATCCAACAGCCCTTTTTCTTTTCTAAATGCCATACAAGTCAAACAGTAGTCCTCCATTTACAGCTGAGACATGGGCATGGTGCCATTGCTTTCCTTGGTGAGAGACATAACGAAGGAGCCACAGTGAAACTTGTTCAACAAACTGCCATTGAAGACATGAAGAAGGACCCATAGTGAAACTTGTTCAACAAACTGCCATTGAAGAAGACTTGTTTCACATTGAAGAATGGACCCATAGTGAAACTTGTTCAACAAACCCCTCGTGAAACTGTTCAACAAACTGCCATTGAAGACATGAATAAGGACTTATAGTGAAACTTGTTCAACAAACTGCCATTGAAGACATGAAGAAGGACCTACAGTGACCAACAAACTGCCATTGTGAAGAAGGACCCATAGTTGTTGTTCAACAAACTGCCATTGAAGACATGAAGAAGGACCCATAGTGAAACTTGTTCAACAAACTGCCATTGAAGACATGAAGAAGGACCTACAGTGAAACTTGTTCAACAAACTTCCATTGAAGACATGAAGAAGGACTTATAGTGAAACTTGTTCAACAAACTGCCATTAAAGACATGAAGAAGGACCTACAGTGAAACTTGTTCAACAAACTGCCATTGAAGACATGAAGAAGGACCCATAGTGAAACTTGTTCAACAAACTTCTGTCAAAGACATGAAGAAGGACCCATAGTGAAACTTGTTCAACAATCTGCCATTGAAGACATGGAGAAGGACCCATAGTGAAACTTGTTCAACAAACTTCTGTCAAAGACATGAAGAAGGACCCATAGTGAAACTTGTTCAACAAACTGCCATTGAAGACATGAAGAAGGACCCACAGTGAAACTTGTTCAACAAAAACTGTGAAGACATGAAGAAGGACTTTTACAACAAACTGCCATTGAAGACATGAAGAAGGACCCATAGTGAAACTTGTTCAACAAACTGCCATGTCAAAGACATGAAGAAGGACCCAACAAACTGCCATGAAGACATGAAGAAGGACTTGTGAAACTTGTTCAACAATCTGCCATTGAAGACATGAAGAAGGACCCATAGTGAAAAACTTGTTCAACAAACTTCTGTCAAAGACATGAAGAAGGACCCACAGTGAAACTTGTTCAACAAACTTCTGTCAAAGACATGAAGAAGGACCCACAGTGAAACTTGTTCAACAAACTGCCATTGAAGACATGAAGAAGGACCCATAGTGAAACTTGTTCAACAAACTGCCATTGAAGACATGAAGAAGGACTTATAGTGAAACTTGTTCAACAAACTGCCATTGAAGACATGAAGAAGGACTTTTAGTGAAACTTGTTCAACAAACTTCTGTCAAAGACATGAAGAAGGACTTATAGTGAAACTTGTTCAACAAACTTCTGTCAAAGACATGAAGAAGGACTTTTAGTGAAACTTGTTCAACAAACTTCTGTCAAAGACATGAAGAAGGACTTATAGTGAAACTTGTTCAACAAACTTCTGTCAAAGACATGAAGAAGGACTTTTAGTGAAACTTGTTCAACAAACTGCCATTGAAGACATGAAGAAGGACTTATAGTGAAACTTGTTCAACAAACTTCCATTGAAGACATGAAGAAGGACCTACAGTGAAACTTGTTCAACAAACTTCTGTCAAAGACATGAAGAAGGACCCACAGTGAAACTTGTTCAACAAACTTCTGTCAAAGACATGAAGAAGGACCCACAGTGAAACTTGTTCAACAAACTGCCATTGAAGACATGAAGAAGGACCCATAGTGAAACTTGTTCAACAAACTGCCATTGAAGACATGAAGAAGGACTTATAGTGAAACTTGTTCAACAAACTGCCATTGAAGACATGAAGAAGGACCTACAGTGAAACTTGTTCAACAAACTTCTGTCAAAGACATGAAGAAGGACCCACAGTGAAACTTGTTCAACAAACTGCCATTGAAGACATGAAGAAGGACCTACAGTGAAACTTGTTCAACAAACTTCCATTGAAGACATGAAGAAGGACTTATAGTGAAACTTGTTCAACAAACTGCCATTGAAGACATGAAGAAGGACCTACAGTGAAACTTGTTCAACAAACTGCCATTGAAGACATGAAGAAGGACCCATAGTGAAACTTGTTCAACAAACTGCCATTGAAGACATGAAGAAGGACCTACAGTGAAACTTGTTCAACAAACTGCTATCGAAGACATGAAGAAGGACTTTTAGTGAAACTTGTTCAACAAACTGCCATCGAAGACATGAAGAAGGACCCACAGTGAAACTTGTTTAAGTGCCATCAAAGACAAGTCAGCTTGCATACAATAGGGGGCACCAACACAAAGAAGCACCGGGAAAAGCTCAGGCCCCCTTGCTGGAGGCCTCAAGGGGCTAAGAGTTGTTTAAGTATGCAGTAATTATTATAATTGATTAATTATGTGCTGTATGGTAATTATGTAATATATGTTTGAAATTAAGACTTGGAACCAGAAAATGTGGAGCGTATACTCCAGTTATACACCATCAGTCCTACAATTTTAAAAAATGTGCACCGCTAAAGAATTTGAATGGGGAGATTATTAATGACAAGAAGAAGTAGCTAGATAGATGGGTGGAACATTATCTGGAGCTTTACTCAGTTGATAATAAACTAACAGATGGTGCTCTTAATGCCATGGAGACGCTACCAACTCTTGACTATCTGGACACATTTCCAACAGTTGTAGAAGTTGGGAATGCTATTGACAAATTGGCTTCAGCGAAAGTCCCAGGCAGAGATGGAATTCCTATTGAAATCATCAAGAGTCGGAAAGACACCCCACACATCCATCAGCTAATAACACTGCTGGCAAAAGGGAGAGGTTCCACAAGATTTCAAAGATGCAAACATCATAACTATGTACAAGAACAAG